AGGTTATTTGATTAAGGTCAAAAATAACAGAGATGGTGATAAAATTTTTATATCTGTGCTGCTCTGCTTATACAAAAATGAGATCATTATTCCACGTGAGTTTAAAAGTTTGCTTTTCTTGTCATAGCAATGGCCAACAGCCAGCTATGCTGGTTAGGATTAAGTCGGCCACATATAACAGAAAACCCAAATGGCGGGCTTTAATAATACAGGGATTTTCGTTTTGCTCACATGAAAAAAAAATCCAAGAAAAAATATCCAGGGATGAAAGGCTCGTTCCAGGGCCATCAGGGACCCAGGTTCTTTTCAAGTATTTCTTCCAACTTCCTTACCATGGAATTTGCATTTCAGAATTGCATTATGGTTACATGATGGCTGCTGGAGACTCAGCTCTCATGTCCATGTTCCAGGCAGCAGAAAGGAATAAGAGCTTTTCAGCTGACTCAGTCCCATGTAAAGAGCTTCTTTGGTCCTGAACTCCTGGCCTCAAATGATCCTCCCACTTCCACCTCCCAAAGCGCTGGGGTTACAGGCATGAGCCACCATGCCTAAGAGCTTCTTTGGAAGCCCAAACCAAAAACTTCAGCTTATACTTCTTTAACCACCCATCTGCAAGAGAGGCTGGGAAATAGGTTTTATCAAAGCCAATTGCCACCCTCGATAACATGGGATTCCACTGGCAAGAAAGGAGAGAACTATCGGGTACTCAACTAGCTCTTTCTACCTTACCCTCCATGCTCTCTCCTGGCTGGGCCACAACTCTCATCCACTGGAAGACAGACCAAGGGGAAAGCTCTGGCAGCTGTGAACTGGCGGGGTCTGTGTGTGTGTGTGCGCGTGCACGTGTGCATGCATGTGTATGTGTGTATACGTATATGGTGTGCATGTGTGTGTATGGCTGCACTGAGGCTGACCTGCAAATACCATGATGTGTCCTCTTTGCTTTTATGTAATGAGTTCTCCGTTTGCTTCTGCCTGGTCTAAGACTGATTTGCCTCAGCCTAATATTGTGTGGGGAAGGCTTTCCCCAGGACCAGAAAGGACTGGCAGAGCTGGAGAGAAAGCAGCTGGAGGAGCTGTGTGGTGGGCTGGCAGCTCCTTTCTCTTCACCGTGTTTGGGTGTTATCAGCTCCTCTTTCTCCAACCTGGGGTGCTCCTGCCTCCATATAATCAGTCACTGATGGAAACTCGCAGGGAAAAAGATTTGTTTGTGTGTCCCTTGAGGACAGAACAATATTGTAGTATTTGATGGGTCTTAATTTATAGTAAGCTTGAAAGGTAAGTAGTTGCCTATTCTAGTCAGCTTAAGGCAACACCGAATGACTCACATGAAACATGGAATTGACTTCACTGATACCAGCAGGGAGGTGCTCACAGTGAAGTCAACCTTCCCTCACCACAGGGGCACACGCCACCCTCATTTTATAGCCAAAAAACCTGAAGTTAGGTCACCTCCCTGAGTCACCCAAGAGCTGGCCTGAGAGCTACACAGTGGGGTGACTGGGCTTCCCTACATCAAAAAACTACCCTCAGCCCAGGGGCCTGGCTCTCTAGGAAGGGGTTCAGAATGCACACCCAAGTCCCAGGCCCCTGCCTCAACTCCACGACACTGAGGGAGGTGAGCAGACTGGGTGGGAGAGGCAGCTTTGCAGCTGACCAGAGGCTGTGGGGACACAAGGGATGCTCAGCAGACCTGGGCATCTCTCCACAAGGCTCAGGTACCAGATCTGAAATAACATGAAACACAGCAGGGCGTCCATCAATATCATCATCATTATTCATTACATTTGCTTCAGACCCCAACATCACCCACAAATGATTATGGGTTTAAAAATGAAATGAGGTTGAACTTAGGGGGTGACCACCTGACTTCTGTTTTATCTTAGTCTTTTATTCATGCTTCTTTTTACTAAGTGTTCATCCGCAAACAAGCCTGCAACGTGACATGTCCGGGACTCAGCTCATTTGATGCACCAATAAGACAAGCAGCAGACAACAGCAGCACCACGGAGCTGAAAACAAAATGAATAAATACTTTTTCACAATGAAATGAGCAGAGGGACTGTTGACTTGGGGAGCTCCCGCAAGCCAGAGACAAGTGGGAGGAACTTGCTGACTTCCAAGAAGAAAAGCCAGCAAAAAGGAACCAGTCTCCAGGAAGAATATGAAAATGAAGAGCTGGTATGTGATAGCCCTTTAAAGTTTATAAAGCACTTCCTGAGAGCCTTATCTTGCTTGAGCCTCCCCAAACACTGTAAAGTGGGAAGGAGATTATGGAAAAGAAAATTGAAGTTCAGAGAGATCAATATCCAACCCAAGGGTGCATAGCTGCAACTCAGGTCAGGGATGTGATCAGAAGGGGCTGGGCCTCTGCCACCTCCGATGCTCAGGCAACTCACCACCAAACCGAACACCCAGCAACACACTGTGAGCAAAAATAAATCCTCCTTTCCAGCCCCTATGGCCCCTGCCTCTGAGGCCACAGCTAGGAGGTACGATTCCTAGGAAAGGCACAAGGAAGAGGGATACTCCCACCATTTTTGACCTTCAAAGCACTTGGTGTCTTCACTATGTCCTATGCAGCCCCAATGACGTGGGACCGCCCTGGGTCATAGGTGCTCACCTGCCTGAAAGAATAGGACAGAGGAATGTCAGAAAAGCCCCTCCTCCCTGCCGTGCACCACTCACTCTCACACAGTCTGGCTTTAGTTTCTCCCCCGATGGTGATGTCTGGGACAAGTATCTGCACGCCTCTGTTTACTCACCTGTAAAATGGGGAGAAGCACATTTGCCTCCACCCCTCCCGCCGATGGGAGCAGAGGTAGAGCCTGCTTGTCTGGACAAGCCCAGAGCTAAGCCCATCCTCCTGATCTGCTCTCTGTGACAAAATCTATGGCTAAGTGCTCCACTCTGATCTCAGGCTCCCAGGATCACGTGGGTATCAAACGGAGGAGCTGCAGGTGAGCCAGTCGGCATCATTGCAACTGGCTCCTGAGATCACGCCTTGGGTCACAAGGACGTCTGAGTGTGAGGTGAGGTGGCTTTCATTCCTGACTTCATAGCCAACAAAGTGGTGGCTGTCTGTCTTTGACCAAACAGGCTCGACTATCTTCCCTAAAGGAGCAGAGTTCTAAGCTCAATGCCATTTGCCTCCCCCATTAATCCAAAATTATTTAATTAACACAATTTCCTCTATAAATTTTATTTCAGATTTCTTAAAAAAATCCTGGCAGCGACATAATTTCAACCATCCAGGATCCCAGATAAAGTCTCAGAATGGGAGTTCAATTTGTAAAGCATCCCTAGTTGCAGCTTCCTGGGGCCTGGTGCACCCACTGGCCTTGGGCTCCTGGCCTCTATCTATGCAGGAAGGGTTTGTCGATACACCCTGACGGTCCTCTTGGGTTCAGGCACCCAAATGCTAGGGTTCAGCACCCAGCCAGAGGCCCTGGCATGGCACATCTACCCAGATGCTTTCAGGAGACCTAAGTGGGAGCCGTGGGGCCAGTCAAGATGGCAGGGAGGCCAGGATTTGGCAGAAGCAGCTGAGGAAAGAGCTGGCATTGCTCAGACTCACCAGTGTTAGCCAGCCGATATTGGTCAAGGCTGCCCCGTTCGAGGGTCCATTATCCCCTTTTCCCGGCCTCAGCTGTGCACTCCAGGCCATAGCAGCACAAGAACTTTCCACCACCACAGGGTAAGGGACAGATGCGGGGTTTCCAAAAGCTTCAAAACTTACCCCTCTATCCAGAAGGACACCAGGGGACAGAGATGGACACGGAGGCCTCAAAACAGGAGGAGCCTCAGGAAAATAAGAAGACCCCTCTCCATTCTTGATTACTTGGGGTTACTCATACAAAGAGATGGACTGAAGGGCCTGAGCCTATCTGAGGATTAAAGCACAGCTTTTGCCAGGAATTCGTGCCTCCCGTCTTTGTTCCAGCAACCTGAGGAATGGCATGCATCAGAAGCCGCTTCCGTGTCTCAGATGGGGGCTGTGTCAAGTCCTGGGGGTCGATGGAGCATTTCCCAAATGGCAAAAGGAGAGGAGTTAGACTTACCTCCCACTCCTGGGAAGTTATGCCCGACAAGAGTTTCAACTCTTAAAACGATTAGCAGCAAAGATCTCATGTGCTTTCTTTTTAATTATCATTTTTTAATCGAGGTATAATTTATGCATTTAAAAAACCAAATTAATTGCACTCCAGGGCTCTGGGATGGAGGGCGGTGTGCGCCTGTGAAGGTCAGAGTCCCAGCGGCGCCAGGGCTCCACAGCGTAGAGCTGGAATGGTCCAGCGTTTTGCTTTCGCCTTCTGCCCCACTGCGTGTGAAGCCCCAGGGCCGCAGGGAAATTCCAGGCCAGCTGGGCCAGGGTGCGCCAGCCGGCGGTCCCCGCTAGGGCAGGGTGGGGTGCAGCGGGTGTCTGTCCTGCGAGCGGGGATCGGGCCGCTGGACCCAAGACCAGGGCACGTGCGCAGCGACGCGGGGCAGCCCCGCCAGGAGCCCCGACTCCGGCGCGGCGCAGGGCCCAGCGGAGAGCGGGCATTCCGGAGAGCTGCAAGCCGGCCGAAGTTGGGCGAGCGCTCTGTGCGGCGACTGGGAGGGGGCTGCAGGTGCCGCGGGAAGAGCTCGCCCGGCTTCGGGGAGGCAGCTGGGCGCTGTGGCCCCTGCGGCTTAGCTCCCTGCCGGGTCGGGTGTCCCAGCCCTGCGACTTCCGGGGCCCGGCAGCGCTTCGGAGAGCTAGTCCAAAGCCAACCTCCAGGGCGAGAAAGCGCACGGCGCGGTAGCCGGGACGGTCCGCAGCACGCGGGCAGAGCTGCCGGCACTCGGGCTCCTGCAGGGGCGGCGGACGGGGTGGGGTGAAGCGGGCGGGCCCCCCTCCCCTTCCCTCTCCTCCCTCCAGCAGCCCGCCCGCCCTTCCTCCAGTCCTGCAGCCAATTAGACGGCCCCCTCGGGAGGGAGGCGTGGGGCGCTGCATAAAGCGGCGGGGAGCTGTCACCCCGGGAGCAGGCTGCGCAGTGCCCAGGCCGAGCCGGTGCGCCGCAGACTAGGGCGCCTCGGGCCAGGGAGCGCGGAGGAGCCATGGCCACCACTAACGGGGCCGTGGAAAACGGGCAGCCGGACAGGAAGCCGCCTGCCCTGCCGCGCCCTATCCGCAACCTGGAGGTCAAGTTCACCAAGGTGAGGTGGGCGCCCCTCCCACCCGACGGCCGCCAGCCTCTGCGCTGGGCAGCCAGCTTCGGGGCGACGTGGGCGAGGGACCAGTAGGCCGAGGGTCCGCCGGGCGCTCCCGAGACCCGAGCCTCCCTGCCGGGGCTCGGCCCTCTCGAAACCGCACCCTTCGCGGGGCATCTTGGGCGGGATCGCCGGCGGCGGGGCTCGGCGCTGTGAGCCTCGAAGGCGGGAAACCGAGGCCGTCTAGCGCCCGCGCGGTGCCAGGCTGCACGCATCCCTGCGAGGCCCCGACGTGTGCCTTCACTGCTTTGATCACGAGTGGAGGTGCGCGCCGCTTTGACTAGGAGCGCGGTGGTCTCCCTCCCCAAAAACCCCTGGGATGATTTCCCGGGTGGACGCGTCTGGCTTTGAGAGGGTCAGAGGTGCCCGAGAACGCCAAGAGAGAGTCCGGGAGCCAGATCGCGGAGCTGCAGTTAGATGACTGGGGAAACAGGTCCTCTGAGCAAAGCGCATCGGGCACCTTCCGTGCTTAGTTTATACCCAGCTCACCAGCAGAATAGAGGGAGTAGGAAGGTGCTCACTTACTGATGAAACCTCCCCGGAGCCCAGAGGTCCCGGTGTTTACAGGCAAGGAGCGCGATTCGGAAGGTCGCAGATCTGGGCCTTTGGGAAGCGGTGGGTAGCAAGGCCGAGCGGCCAGGCTCCGTCGCGCCGCAGAAGCTCACGGTTCTCTGCCTCCTTGCGCTGTGGGCTGGGAGGCTAGAGCGTTGGCAGAACGGTGAGATTACCTGCCTGGGGCAGAAAGGAATAAAAGAAGATGGTAAGGCCTCCGAGGCCTCTGAGCTGGGGCTGAGGAGGGCCAAGAGACCCGGGTGCGGAAGCGCGACCCAATGGAGGACACCCCCAGGCTGTCTGGGGTGCGCTTCTGTCCGTGGGCCGGTGCTGGGGCACTTTAGAGGCACAGGCCAGGCCAAGAGCCATTGCCTTCACTTTCCCCACCTTTGGCTTCTCTTGATTTTTGCTTTTATCCATAGCCCCCAACTCCAGCTGACACCGCACTTAGAGAATTTCCTCATCCGTTTTACTTTAAGAAGTAGCAATTATCTTTCTCAAAGAGTTTTAATCAAGCGGAGAAAGTTACAGGGCACTACGTGTGGCCTTCGGATTTAGGTCTCTTGGCACTTAATTCCCAATGTCGGCTGAGCCTCTGATCACATGACATTTAAATTAAGTGTTTTCAGAAGGCTCTGTAATCAACAAAGACACGTCGCTGTAAACTAAACGCTGAAAATTATTCTTAATGTAGTTTTCTTTGTAATATCAGCTTCAGAGTGAAAATTCCAACACGAATTCTGGGAAGAGTGAAAATGATACCTTAATTTTGTAAGACCCTAGCCCTAGGTGCTTGGCTGCTGCTGCTGCGGGTGGTGAAGTGGGGAGGTTGTTTGTTTTCTTTTGGTTGTACAGGATTTCAAAATACTATATATAGAAACAAGAAAGTAAATGTATTATGGTCCTTTTACTTTTTATGTTTTTGAGTCCTATCAGCAATCTGACCACATACAAAAAGTTTACCTCTTTCTCTATGATTTTTAGGACACTTTTAAAGTGTAAATGTAGCCCTTATGGCGATCTTAGACAATTCACAGAGCAGTAATTGCCTGTCGTCTTGGTGGGTGCGCAACCTTTGCCAGTTAAAGGGAACCAGTGAAGGAGTGAGGTTGAGGGAAGGTGGTCGATGGGCCTGGAGTGCTGGGATCTTGAGGGGTCTCCCAGGCGATGAAGGCCCCAACTGCCTCACACTGGTTGCTCCCTCCCCACCCGTTGGGGGACAGTGCTGCTGCCTGCTCTGTCCTGGCTCCTGGCCCATCTCTGCAGAGACCTCCCCATAGCAGTTGTGGACCCAGGCAGCTTACGTGGCTGAGGGTGGCCAGCCAGTGCCCTGGCACAGGCCTCAGGGAGCCTGGACAGGAGAGGCCGCCGAGAGTGAGGCCACCAACAGTGCCTGCCGAGGGAAGGAGCGGGATAAACTGAAATTCAGGACTGAGGCCCAGGGTGGGTGAGTGGCCCGGCAGGTGGGTGGCCTGGCAGGAGAGCAGACGGTGGAGCATGGTAGCCAGCAGTGGTCTGCTATTTTCCAAACCTGACTCACGGTGCTTCTCGATAATGGGGCACACACCAGCGTTGGCCCATCTGAGCCCCAGCCCCAGCAGTGCCATTTCCAGGGTGGTCTAACTTTCAGAAGGATGACTTTGTCAAAGCCCCTTCATTCGTCCTCACATGTTAACATTGCGTTCTCTAGGGTCATGCTGTATGATTCTGGAGAGCTGAGAGCCCCTCCAGGGTCCCCACACAGATCTCAGAGGATGGAAGTCCCTTCTAATTTAGGGGACCTCTTTCCTTCCTTATAAAATTTCTTCCAGTAGCAGAGATTCTCTTCAAAGTTTTCTGATTTTAAAACACCAGTTTTTATTATCTCTCTTATGAAAAATAAAATTCCCCCAAATCTCCTTTTCTGCAAGCATATTCTTTTTGAGTTTAGCTGAGTGGCCTGTTGTCAGATGGAAGTTACTGGAAATTGGCATCAATAGGATTCACTTGCATGACTGCCATCTCACCTCAACCTGAGACACCTTACAGCTCAGTCCTGATTCCATGTCATTCTGTTCCTTTTGTAAAATGTGAACCATGTCTACAGCTCAATGTAGCTTAATGCTATACCTCTATAAGGTTTGTCGTATGCTAATCCACAAATCAAAGACAATGATTCCTTCTAGACCCTTTACTCTGATTTGGAGTTCAGAACAATACAGCCAGCATAATCAGTAGGCCGTATTTATATACCCTTTCCTTATATTTGTGCTTTTGTTTTGTTTTTGTGGAGAGAAAAATCAACAGTAGAAACCACTTACAAGATTACTTACTACTGTAGTGTGGTATAAAGAAAAAGATTTTACAAAATTAAAAACATAGCGATGGGAAAATACGGTTAGAGTCAAATAGTCTGATTTTGTTTTAAGGTTGCTGGTTACAGATCAATGTCATGAACAAACAGTAATTTTTTTTGGAGGAGCGTGCTTGGAGATGAAGTACAGCAGACATCCGATCATTGTAATCTGTTTTCAGTCCCCTTATTTATATTCTCTTCTGCCACCTTCTCATTTTCCCTCCCCCTTGGAATTGATACCAGGAAGGACCTAGAATCAGCAATTTTCACTGACAGTCTCTATTATCTAACCCACGAAATTTCATCTTTCTACAAATGGGCCCCTCTTCCTGGCTGCACTTTCCTCCCCGCACTAACTTAACTCTTCTTCCCCAGTTATTAATTTCTCGCTGTTACCAAGTGATGACTTGCTGCATGGCAAAAGTGAACTCTCGGATTTAGTTTCAGCTGGAAGAATAAACCTGTAATTGTAGCCTGACCTTTTCCTGGTGCACTTCCCTGGGGGCCTGGCCTCACGTTGGAGATGCTAAGCTTCCAGAAGCCAGACAGGCACATCCCACTGGTGACAGATGCTCTCAGTCCTGGATTCCAAACTGGGGGGCAGCTGGTCTCTGCTCACCTGCCCAGCCAGAGTCTGCCTCTTGTGCTTGGTCCCCAGAGGACTCAGACCAGGCTTCCTCACGCATGAGCTTCAGAGGTTTTTGTGGGTTTTTTTTTTTTTTTTTTTTTTTACATTCTATCAACTTTTAAGTTCTGGGGTACATGCGCAGGTTTGTTACATAAGTAAACATGTGCCATGGTGGTTTGCTGCACAGATCAACCCATCACCCGGGTATTAAGCTCGAGCTGTGGAGTTTATACAGGAAGCTCAATACAGAGAACGTAACCAAGACGCATTCTTAGGAGATGGCTGCCCTCTCTCATCTGTCGTCACTGGGGAGTCAAATATTCCAAATGAATCAATTTCACAATAATTGAAATTAGCCCTTGAGGGACGCAATTCTTCCTTTAAATGATTCACAGAGAAGTAAAGTAAAGCTATGTATATACCATATGCAGATAGAGGTAAAAACGGAACCTGATGAACTAACTCTGTACTCAGAAATTATTGATGGCATTTTACTTGATAGACATGCATGTTAGCCATTTCTGCCACAGAGGTTTTTCTGATGCTGTGATAGGCTGTGATGAGGAAGCCATTCCAAGTTGGTGTGGCAGGAGTTTGTGTGTCTTCTGGCTGGGCAGCCGGGGACCTCCGTGCTGTCAGAATGTGTTTTGTGTATTGTCTGTCATGTCTGTTCCTAGTTCTTCTCCAAAAGCCCTCTCTTTTAATGTGACATTATTAAGATGATTAGAACTTAGTGTAAACTAACAGTAAATAGTACATATGTTTCAGTGCATGAAGTTCGTATGTTCTTCTTAGTCTGCTCATGATATCTTGTTTAAAAAATTTTCATTCTCATCTGCATTCTGGATCACTGAGGTTCCCAGAAAAGTGATTTCTGTGGGTTATATAAACAGTTATTTGTGACATCTCTTAATGTAACCTGGAAAGTTTCTAACCCAGACATTTAACTTTGTATTTCAACACTGGTTTATTGTCAAGCTTCGGAGGTTTTTGTGGGGTTTTTTTTGTTTGTTTGTTTGTTTTGACATTTTATCAACTTTTATTTTAAGTTCTAGGGTACATGTGCAGGATGTGCGGGTCTGTTACATAGGTAAACATGTGCCATGGTGGTTTGCTATGAAATTACACATTTTAAGGGGGATGCTGGGGAGGGACATGCTGATGTGCATTGGTGAAAACTGAAGGGTAATGGTGAGATCCTCCTCAAATTGAGCTCCTTGGTAATCAGTCTTGCTGGGTGTTGCCGCTGAAAGGAGAAAGCGAGTGCTCAGTGTGTCCTTACCCTTCAGGGGCAGGCGGAATGCTTGGGACTTTTATATATATAAACCTATTGATTCTTCTTCCAAAGTCTATGAGGGTATAAGATTCCATTCACAGCCTCTATTTAACCATTTAACTTAGCCATTCCTCTGTGAATCCATGTTATTGCTGAAAAAATAATAATAATTTAGAAAAAATCTCTAACTGACTTTAGTTTTATTTGACCAAAACTTGAATTTCGAGTCTGTCCTGGTTGATCTGTTGGTCATGTGGTCCTGGGACTCTGTGCCCCTCCGGGTCTCATCTATAAAATGTTGAAGGGGAGAGGGAAGCAGCAGGGAGGAAGGTGGACAAGATGGATAAGACGTTACTTAAGGTCCTTAGCATGTTGAAATTATATGATTTTGATCTAAACCTAATTCGTTACACTTCCTTTCCTGGTTAGATATTTATCAACAATGAATGGCATGAATCCAAGAGTGGAAAAAAGTTTGCCACATATAACCCTTCAACTCTGGAGAAAATATGTGAAGTGGAAGAAGGAGATAAGGTAAATACTTTAAAAAAAAAAACAAAAACAAAACAGTTGCTCTAAGTAATTCAATTATAGATGACCAAAGGATAAGGAAGCAGTTTGGCTTAGCTATAAGATAGAACTGGCCCATCCTAGGGGCAGGGCCTGGGCTAGCTGCATGAATTGGCATGTGGTTCTCAGACATGTGGCACAGAATGGGATCAATTACTGATGATCCTCTGCAGAGAATCATTCTCCTTTGATAGATGTTTCTCCATCTATGAGGATGACCTCACCTATCCTCATCATGTGGCTAAAGGAAGGGTTTTTTGTTTTTTGTTGTTTTTTCAATTATTTGGACCTGGAGGCATTAAAGAATCTTTCCATAAAGCATTTCCGGCTGGTGTGTTTCAACAAATACAGTATTCTGGCAGGAGACATTTTAGAAAAAAAATAGACTTGAAGGAAAAAAATAGTTGCTACCTGGGTGATGCTGGGATAGTTAACAATGTAACCACCAGATTTCTTTTCTCCTAGAAATTTACATGAGCATGGAAAGCGGTAACCTTTATCACTCTATTTCGAAGTGCAAGGTCTATATCGTAATATGGAAGTTAAGGGACTTCTGAATGTGTCCTTTATACATGGCAAGGCCATTAAATCTATTTTGAATGTTAGCGCAGAGGTAAAGCCCTTCCACTGAGGGCAGGGAGATGTAAATGTTTCCTCAACGGCTGGAGCACTGGACTGATGTTCTTAGTCAGCAAACTGATGAGGTTGGAAGTGGATGGAGTGAAGGGCGTGTGCAGAGTAGGCTTGGATTTTATCCTGCCCATGAGTTTTGTGACAGATGTGCAAATGCACAGCGGCCGCACCTATACAGACCCCCCTCTGTGTGGCACCTCATGACAGTTAGGCTCTGCTAACAAAGAAAGTGGCACAGAGGAGCTCATAGAAAAATGTGAGGGCATCGGGGGGAAGCCATGACATGGAATGGGGTTTCCACTAGGAGACTCCCAAGCACCTTGTACACGTGCTGGGAGGAGAACGAGACCCTTGCCCTGGGCCTTGATTTCTCCCTTGGTCTGAGTGACTGTTCTGAGCCAGAGGCCACCCCACACTCTGCAGCTGGAGAGGTCCTGGCCTCCACCCCAGAGCCTGGGACAAGGAATCCAGTGTCCCACATCTCCCCTGCCAAGCTTCTGCTCACCCCCAAGCCAGCTCTGGACACATGGAGTCTCGGTAGAGTCACTCCTGCCTGGTGTCTGGCATCCACCCCTTGCTGTACCTTCTAGAAAGAGAGGCACGGAGGAGCCTTTGAGATGAATGTGGCCCGTTTTCCTGAGAAGGAGAAAGAATGACACTACTCTAAATGGCCCTCACTTCTTTCCTTTTAGAAAGAAGGTTCTGTTGTGATTATGCTATCCTTGCACAAACGATCCAGTTCTGCTCCCATGGGGTGAGTGAGGCTGAAGGGAGAAAAAAGGCCTCCATGTTCCTCCCTGTCTGCGAACTGTTCCATGATGGTCAGTTCTGCAATCCAGAAAGGAACGAATTTCCCCATTCTCACTCTTGGACCACCAGTTCCCAGCTGGAATAAAATGCCGGACAGCCATTTCCCACCTGGTCTGTGAACAGCAGGCTTGTGTGTGTTCACGGTGAGCCAGCCAGTGGAAAGTCTTTCCGTCCTTGGGTCCCCCAGAAAAATACTCAGGGTCGGTGACTTTATGAAATATTTTTAAATGCTTTTTATAATCAGAAACAAACGTTTTTGTTTTTTTGACCACTGTAGAAATATTAAGATGATATTTGACCACTGTAGAAATATTAAGATGTAAAGAAGAAAAAAATCACTTGAATGCTCCCAGCCACTCAAGTGATTGAAAAACTTGCTGCTGCTTGCAGCCTGTCTGCCAGCGGCACAATTCTGCTGTTCTCTGTAACTGACAGCCGCGATCCCAAACTGCAGTCACATCAAAAGATGACACCCTCTCTCTGTTGTTTTGGCCACTCAGCCCGATGTGGACAAGGCTGTGGAGGCTGCACAGGCTGCCTTCCAGAGGGGCTCGCCATGGCGCCGGCTGGATGCCCTGAGTCGTGGGCGGCTGCTGCACCAGCTGGCTGACCTGGTGGAGAGGGACCGCGCCACCTTGGCCGTGAGTACACGCACATGGGGGCCGGTGGGGGATGAGCCAGCCTCAGTGAGGGTCCTGTCCCCCGTGTGGTATGGGAAAAAATACCAGGGTCCTGGTATTGTGTGGTCGTAGGTCTGTTCCGTCCTTTGAGATACAGCTCTCTGGCAATACATGCAGGTGTCGATGCCTCTGGACTGAATCCCTTTCATTTTGAAGCCAGACTTTTGTCCTCTGCAGCTCAGCTTCTTGACCAAGTGGTTGTCTGTAGGAAGTTCAGCTATATCAGTGGTCTCAGACTTGGGGCACTCACAGATTGGTGACTATGAGCTGGGCCATATCCTGGTACCACCTGTATGTTTATGTACTTAACTTTTTTCTTTTTTGTATTAACTCCCTTTTATTTATTTTATTTTATTTATTTTTTTGAGACAGTCTCCCTGTCACCCAGGCTGTAGTGCAGTGATACAATCTCGGCTCACTGCAGCCTCTACCTCCCAGGTTAAAATGATTCTCTTGCCTCAGCCTCCTGAGTAGCTGGGACCACAGGTGCCTGCCACCATGCCCGGCTAATTTTTATATTTGTAATAGAGACAGGGTTTTGTCATGTTGGCCAGGTCTTGAACTCCTGGTCTCGAACTCCTGGCCTCAGGTGATCCGCCAGCCTTGGCCTCCCAAAGTGCTGGGATTACAGATGTAAGCCACTGTGCCCACCCTTAACTCTCTTTTAAACTTAAGTTTAACCTCATCCTAAGAAACAATATTCATGAAATCACAGATTTGATGTGCTAATTTTATTTTTCTAATACTTACTAAAATAAATGCCACCACTTAACATAGAAAAAACTGTTCTCATGTGACCTAAAATTATTCCTCAACCACCCCTGAACTGACTAGTAGCAAGCATATGTGGAGTGGTGGTGAGGGCAGGATAGCCTGGTTATAGGAAACCTCAGAGTAGGAAAGACGTAAGTTCAAATCCTCACTCTGCCACTTACTAGCTGTGTGACTTTGGACAACTTGTGAAACCTCTCTGAGATTTATTTCTTTGTGTAAAATGTCACCAATAATGATAACTCAGTGGTGTAAGAATGGTCTATTTAAGATTCTAGGCAGAAAAAAAAATTCTAGGCAGAGTCCCCAGGCATGCAGTAAGCACTAAATAGATGATAACTATTATTAATAATAGCAGTTATCATAATAAGGCCATGTGAAGACCCATTTTCTAACCTCAGCTATATGCACTGCTCGCCAGTAATTTCTAGTTACCTTAGGTGGGGAGATTGATGCAGCATACCCCATGAGGTTGGGCTTCGAAGGCATTCATCAGTTGTAAATCCATTCTTTAGCAGGATCCTCAGACTTTCCTCTGGTCTTGAGGGGGTGATCAGAGGCCACGTTGGACTGTGAGGTCCTTTGCATCCTGTCCTTGCACATCTCAGCCTCTTGTTTTTAAAAGTTGTTCCAAACCTTGAGGCCCGGTTGTAGGGGAGGAAATCTCCTTTTTGGCCTTTGATTTGGAAAAATGGTTTTTCTGATGTCGGGAACAAGCAGTAGGGTAGCCACTGTTTAAAGGAGGGTGTCAGCCAGGACACGGAAATTGCTGTTGCTCCTGAATGTGTTTCTTAGGGTGGAAGAACTCTCAGGCCTTACTCTTGGGTGCATTTCCCTAAGGGTGCATCAACACAGAAACTCAAGCTCTCCTTCCTTCCTTCCTTCCCAGTCAGCCCGGCCAGTCCACATGTTCCCCGGGTGAGGGTAGCAACCTCCCAGGGTAAGCGCTTCTCTCTGAGGAGCCTCTGGTTTCTTCCTGCAACGTAAGCCAGCCTCAACACTCAAGCTGCCAAACTGGCTTTTTCAAAAACATTTCTGTTTTAACCCGGCATGAGCTCATCAGTCAGCAATGTCCGTGTGGACTAATAGCAGGCTAGAGAGGATGTGCCCTGGGCACCCCCACGAACCCTGTCCTTAAGTGTCAGTATCATCTTAGAAGCAGAGGCTGCAAAGCCACCTTCATCTTCAGCCTGCCCCATTGTCCTGGCACGACTGTGTTTTGACAGCAGACAGAGCTTTGGAGGACCTCAGAATGCAAACCCAGCAAATCACTTCTGCCATTGGGACCTCGCTGCCCACAAGAAATAAGATCCAGCTCTTTGCCACAACATGAAAGGGACAAGAGAATTACTGGCAAACACGGTTTTTAAAACTCCGACCACATCACAAGAGAGCGCCCCTTGCTCTCCACCTCGATATGGTTTCCGTGCATGTTCATGGAGTGTGTTCTCTTGCTGGCTCAGTGGTTTGACAGAGCTGGGTGTTTATTTCTGTGCTCAGTGTCTGGAAACAGATGTGGGGGATCCAGCAGCCCCTGGATGGCTTTCCTTTGCTGGGGCACCCAGGCCCCAGCTCTCCTCTTTGGGTGCTCATTTTGGGAGCTCCCAAACGGAAGCCCTCCCTATCCACTCTCCTTTTCACCCCAAGTGCCATTTCTGGGTCCTCTAGTTGTAAGCCCTGCTGTGCTGTTTTCCTGGCACTTTCCTGTCATTCTTTAGTATCTGAGGGTTATGATGTGTTAATTTCTCAGGGGACACATTTTTCTCTTAAAATGCTAAAGGAAATAAACTTAGGAGTGGCTATGGTTTACTCATGATTGAGCCACAATAACAAGTTGTTTAAAGGATGACTGTTTCAATATGTAGTTAGCACTTATACTCACTCACCTGCAGAATTTTTTTTCTAATAATTTCCCATCTAAACCTAGTCATGACCTGGGTTTTGCTCAGAGAAATTCCATAAAACCAACCTGGTAAATTCATGTTGTCATTCCAGTAAGCAAACTTGCTGAAGTTAATAATAAAAACAAATAGCAATGCTTGTTGAATGCTCGCCATGGATCCGGCTTGTTGTAGCAATGCTTGTTGAATGTTCACTGTCACCCGCTTTGTTGAGCTGTAGGATTTTTTATCTCACTTCAGAGATGAGAAACTGAGGCCCAGAGAGGTTAAATAACCTGTCCTAGGTCACCCAGCCAGGACTGGAGGCAGAATGTTGGCTCCATGTCTTGCACTTACCCTCAGTGCTGGATGTTGAAGTCCTCTCTTTTTCCATCCCAGAAAAGAGCGAAGAATAAACTCCTGGTTCCACTGACAGATATGCAGTTACTGTCTGGCATAGGTCAGTGTTAGAGGCCTTTTGGCACTGTTTGCAATTGCTAGGTTTCCCCTGGAAAACGAAAGTTCACGCTTGAGTGAAATCTATAGGAACCAACAGTAGAGTATACTTGATGTCACACTGGCCTGACTCAGTCCCTGAGCGGCAGCTGCTGGGGGCAGAACACACACCCCTAACCTAGACCAGTCCTGTGGTCTTCAGCAACCCAGTGCCCTGTCTGGGTCCCCAGGTGAGGATCACCAAGCCCTTCTCTGGTGCCTAACGGGAAGATGATGATAATCAGTGTAATCACCAGTGTTCTCATGTGAACACCAATCTAGCACTCACCATGGGCGGGCACTGTGGTTGGTGCTCTGTGTCCACTGACTCCTTTCACTCTAACACTGGCCCTGTGAGGTAGGAACCGTTATTATTCTTATTTACAGATGAGGAAATTGAGGCAGGGAGAGATTCCAGGACTTACCCAAAGCCCATTTACTTAACTAGGGTTCAGCAGATGTGGTTGCCTCCTAATTAGAGGGGGCTTGGTTCATTCCTGAAACAAAGGGGAGCTGGGGTAGCCCAAGCATCTGGAGTGGCTGTCCTGCAGTCTTTCCAGGCACACGTGTCCAGGAGCAGCCTCTAAAGGCCGGTTGCTGTTGTGGCCGGAAGTAGATGCCCCGAATTCAGCTGCTGCCTCACTGGGTGGCCTTGGCCAAGTCACTGGACCGTTAGTGTCTGTGCCTGCACCTTGAAGTGGGAATACAGTCACGAAGCTCAAAGGGTGAGACGTCGGGGAGTACGCTGGGGTTAAAGCCCTGGGCCTGAGGAGGGGCCTGGGTGAGACATTGGGGAGTGTGCTGGGGTTAAGGCCCTGGGCCTGAGGAGGGGCCTGGGTGAGACATTGGGGAGTGTGCTGGGGTTAAGGCCCTGGGCCTGAGGAGGGGCCTCTTCTTCCTTTGTCAATCATCACCTCACTCCACTGACTCTTTCACAAGAATCCAGCCCTGGGCTATGTGTCAGGGCGGCCACTTCCTGCAGAGGCGGATGACTGGCGGTTTCAGCGCTGGGCTCAACTGGGGCCACTTGTCTGAGGGACAAAGGGGTTCTCTTCCACCCAGGCTGGAAATAGAAAAGAATCCCTGCCATTGAGTGGCTGCACACTCACCCTGGGTAATCACCTCCCTCACCAGCAGGACAGTCTGCTCCCTTCCGACTCTGCATCCGACTCTGCATCCGGCCGGACTCTGCAGTGCAGGAGGGAAGGATTGCATCTTTGTGCTGGGGGCGCGACCCTTCTCGGCTCAGTCACTTTCCACAGCCACACTGGCCAGCCTGGCTGAGAAGGAAGAGCCTACATCTTCCCTTTCTCTTTTGTTCGAGGAGGGCAGCTCCCACTACAGCCACCCCAAAGCTAGCTAACCTTCAGAGAGCTTCCTGGGAACACACAGGCACACACGCCCGGCCACATGGCAGAGGCCACTGTGCTACAGATGGAAGATCAGATGCCAGTGTGCATTCCTTCCCAGCACGGCTTTAAATCTGCCTTGCCTCCATGCATCCTTCAAAGAGGGTGCATGTCTATGTTCTGGCCCACCACCCCACAGCCCACTTTAGGTGTTTTGAAATAAAAGCAATCCTCACACTCAGGGACAGGCCTCACTTTACATTTGGTGTCATGCTTTCTGAAGAGGTACATCTGACTGTGAGGTCTACAGAGTGATGTCCTAGGACTGTGTTCTCTCCCCAACTTCCATCTTTAACAGCCTGACAGTACAAAAGAAAAGCAAATCATGTCCAAAACAGACATCATCTTGTTATTGCAGGCCTTGGAGACGATGGATACAGGGAAACCATTTCTTCATGCCTTTTTCATCGACCTGGAGGGCTGTATTAGAACCCTCAGATACTTTGCAGGGTGGGCGGACAAAATCCAGGGCAAGACCATCCCCACAGGTGAGCAAGGTGGATTATAGCTTATATTATAGCTTATATTATCGTCCCTTTGAGGCTATATCTTTTCATTAATCCAGAGCCCCTCCTGACTGTTTCCCCAAGTCACCTTTCCCAGCCCCACTCCCTCTCCAAATGGTACTGCCAATTCTTCTTCTAAGAACTTCACTTTTAAAGTTGAGGCCAAATCACTTCTGTGTATAATAGACAAGACTTGAATCTGGCACCCTTGTTGGTTTCTTTCTTGTCTTTTTATTACTTCAAGTTTCTAACCTGGATTAAGTGAGTGTATCCTTTCCCACCATGTAACCCTCCTCCAGATGACAACGTTGTGTGCTTCACCAGGCATGAGCCCATTGGTGTCTGTGGGGCCATCACTCCAGTAAGTATGGCAACTTTTCTCAGTAGATTCTATGTAGATCCCGCCCCACTGCCCTGTGTCCTTTGGACTCAATTTCTGGTGTGTTTTTATCTGATTGCACTAGCATTGAACAAGCATTTTCTTTGTGGCATGGAACTCCATGCTTGAGGGCTGTTGAGATGGATTAGACCCCATTTCTGCTCTCCTAAGACCAGCTTTAGGCATGCCACAGAAAGCACTGTGCATTCCAGCCAGAGTGGTCAGGAATGGCCAGAATTCCCAGGAAGGTGGTCTCTTAACTGAGCCTTAAAGATCAGAAAGATTTGTTCAACAACAAAAATCATTTTCCAAGGAGTAGGAATGGCCTAGGCAAAAGTGTAGAGGTGTCTGGGCTACTTGGAAGGGAACAGCAGGAAATCTGGTGGGGCTGGAGCTCAGGCAGGAGCAAAAGTGAGGAAGAGGGTGCACACACGTGGCAGGTGGTGTGGGCCAGCTTCCAGCAGCTTTGGCTACCAAGGAGCCAGGACTTTATTCATTGGGCAGTGGGGATGCTTATAGGTGCCCCAAGAAATGCAACAGTGTTGCCTGTCTGTTTGGGACGCCTCTGGCCATTGCAACAACAGCCAGGCAGGAAGCTGGAGAGCCAGGTGGCAACATGAAGTGAGGGTTGGAAAAGTGTCCATGGCGGCGGGGAGGAGGACACGTCTTCAGCAGACGTTTTAGAGGGGGAGGTAGAACACATACAATAGCATCCTCTTTGCAAAGGTTACCTATTAGTACCACCCAGAATGCAACTTAAGAAGTGTTGTGCAGGAATGCAGTTCTGATCATTGCACACTCCTATGTTACCCCATATACCCCAAATCCAGACCATGAAAAGCAAGTGTCCTCCACAAAGGCATCACTGGGCACATGGGACAGGGTGGGAGGGTGGATCTGGGCCCCCAAAGCCCCTGTGCTCTGTCGCAGTGGAACTTCCCCCTGCTGATGCTGGTGTGGAAGCTGGCACCCGCCCTCTGCTGTGGGAACACCATGGTCCTGAAGCCTGCAGAGCAGACTCCCCTCACCGCCCTTCATCTCGGCTCTCTGATCAAAGAGGTGAGACATCCAGAAAGAAAATATCACGTGTTCTTGGTAACATTCCCACTCCTAGGAACCAGGCCACCATCACGAGATGGGACAGTGGCAGACTGCTGGCAATTGAGTGGGAAGGGAATGACTCCCAATGTTTTGCTTGGCGACTGCACGTTCTTTCTCCTGCTTGTGGCCACTGAGCTGGAGAAACTCCATTCCTCCCAGTGGTCCTAATGAGAATGCTTAACTCTTATTATGGGCTCAAACCTATGGTTGAGGACCCAGTGGTTTGTCTAGAGAATTTGCATGGGGGTCAACCAAGAGGGAGCCAAATATTTGGGAGGTTCTCTGGGATTTGCATTCTCAGTTTATGAAATGGTCTGTTTTTCTCCTGAGGGGTGGCCTTGCCAGCTCCAGCTGGGCGGCTGCAGCTATCTGTTTGCCGGGTCCCTGCTAATCAGTGCCCTCTGCTCTGAATGCAATCTCTTCTCCCTCAGGCAGCCAGAACTTAGGGAAATAGAGGCCCAAAGGGACACCTCCTTCCAGACATACCTTTTGTCATTCCATCCCCAGGTTGTATGGAGCAAAGATTTAGAGAAAGCAACAGAAAGCAAAGAGGGACAGAAGGAAAGGTCCTTTCCTTTCTCTTCTTAGTGGGACTGATATGACTGGGAGGCAGGTCCATGGTTGCTTAGAGGCAAGGTGGGAACAGCTGGTGATGAGTCAGTTTCTCGCTTTCCTTTGGTGATGTGGGGCATAATTAAGTCACACTGGTGAGACTTAGGAATTTGAAAATCCCAACTGTTAAGAAACAGTGCCTAAAAATCTAAAGACTCAAGCACCGTGCCTAAAATCTTGACCTTCTGAAATAATGTGTTCTAAGTAAGCCTCAGGACAGGTGGGGAAGAGTGTCCTCCACCTCGTTTGTTTTTCTTGCCTGATAAAGAGCCTTAGTATATGAAAAACACGAGGCATGAACATGAACGAGGTGGCAGTCCCTGCCTTCCAGAAGGGCTTGCTCCAGGTGAGACTTAGGTTGAACAAGCAAAGAACTTTAAGGGAGTGATACCTTGTCACCATTTGGAACAATACCGGATCTGATTAATAAATGAAAACTGGGCTGGGAGCAGTGGCTCATGCCTGTAATCCCAGCACTTTAGGAGGCTGAGGCAGGCGGATCATGAGGTCAGGAGATCGAGACCATCCTGGCTAACACGGTGAAACCCCGTCTTTACTAAAAATACAAAAAATTAGCCAGGCATGGTGGCGGGCACCTGTAGTCCCAGCTACTCAGGAGGCTGAGGCAGGAGAATGGCATGAACCCGGGAGGCGGAGGTTGCAGTGAGCCAAGATCGCAACTGCACTCCAGCCTGGGTGACAGAGAGAGACTCCATCTCAAAAAAAAAAGAAAAGAAAAAAGAAAAGAAAAGAAAAAAAGAAAACTGAAGCTCTGGGCAGATGTTTTGCAGGTGCTTCTGATCCTGGGCAGTGGGTTGTGATCAAGCTGCCCCTCTCCCCTTAACACATACACACACTCTCTCTCACACACACACACACCCCACCAACATGGAAAGGTGCTATGCTACAGGTGGGCCATGGCCACCTTGCAGCATAATGACACATTTGCACTGCACATCACTTTGGGATGGGGTCCCCCCGGAAGGAGAAGTGGGCATCTCCCCTTGCCCAGCCTGCACACTGGGCTGGCAGTAGGGGGTAAAAAGCCCAGGTCAGCTCCTAGGGTGCCCAAGGGCAACTGCATCTGGGTCCTGGGTAAATCCACCCCGGCCCAGGCTTCCCTGGGGGATGTGACACAGCCACGGCTCTCTCGGCCCAAATGTGGATCCATGGTGGGTGAAGTCCGTTCTTCTTCAAGTGCTATCTTGGTTTCTTCCCAGGCCGGGTTCCCTCCAGGAGTGGTGAACATCGTGCCAGGATTCGGGCCTACAGTGGGAGCAGCAATTTCTTCTCACCCTCAGGTCAACAAGATCGCCTTCACCGGGTCCACAGAGGTAACCCTCCTCATGGGGTGCTGGTGAAAGTGAAAGTGGCGCATTACTTGACACCCGTGAACTTTTCCTTTGACAGGCTTTAATATGGTTTGTTTTTCTTCTAAATTTGACCATGTTTTAGTATATAACAACCAGTTTTAAAAGTCACTGGCCTGGTTTCCAAAGTAAATAAATATCCAATAGAACTCAGAAGCCTTAGAAGAAAAGATTGAGAGATAAGATAAAGTAAAAATGTAAAATATTCATCTGTCAAACAACACCATAATTAAGATTAAGAGATAAATAACAAGCTCAGAGAAAAATAGTTGTGATGCATGCAGTGCTCCAAGAATTTATATCCATCATATGTAAAGTGCTCCTACAAATCAATGAAAAAAAAAAAAACTGAATGGTAGAAAAATGGGTAGTTCAGAGAATAGAAATACTAAATGCCCAATAAGCTTAAACTAGTTTGCTGGTAATCAGGAAAATGCAAATTCAAACAAAATCGGACTCTCCTTTTGCCTGCCAGTTTGCTAAAAACTGAAATGATACTACTGAGAATATGGGGAAGCAGGCACTCACCGACACTTTGCCTAAGATGATGGTGTTTTGGTAGCACTCATCCAACATTTATAAGTGAAAAACTTTTTGATTCAGAAGCTCCATTTAAAAAAAACAAGCTACTTAAAGAAATTTTCTCATAAGGCTTCAGGGACATATTTTCAAGGATGTTATGTCCATTCTATGAAATGTTTTACAGCCGTTACAACAAGGAAAGCTGTCCATGATCTATTGTTGAAGCACACAACAGCAAACTGTAGAAAATTACCTACAATATGATCCCATTCATAAAAGTGTGTGCTTGTAGAAGTAGAAATTGTCTGGAAGGATTCCCAAGAAATCATTACTGATTGCCACCTATGGGGTGGGCTCAGGGGCAGAGCGGGAGGGAAGCTGAAGGCTTTCTCCCTTTAATTTACATACATCTCTGTGTGGAATTATTTCTAATGAGAAAGTACTTCTTCTGTACTTAAAAAAGAAAAAAACACCGACTGCAATCGGTGTCCCCATCCCCCTCCTCAGTTAGTCCAGCCCTAATGGATGCCGTTACTCTCCTTGGAGACAGACATTGTCCCTGTGGATGGATTCCAGACCTCATTCAGCCATCACCCATGAGCTTGCTGATGTTTAAAATGCACTTACACCTCAGCTTTGGAGAAAACAGTCTCAGACCCGAAAGAGCCCGGGCTGCCCCTTGCTAGCTTCTGGCTCTAGGCCTCCGTGTCTGTGCTGGTCTCTGAGGGTCTTCCCAGCTCTGAAGTTCACGGTGCTAGGCTTTACTTGTTGCCCTAGATAAGTCACCAAGTCATGATGGGCCAGCCCACCCCTCCAGGGGTGCGGTGGGCAATGGGAGAGACCCCGTGGGGGCGTTAAGCATGACTGGTGAGTGGCTCTTCTGCTCATAGTGCACCCCTTCACTCCCTGCCTGTCTGCAGCAGCCTCAGTCTTACAGTGTGTTTCCAGAGAATTGGCTCCTTCTCATCCTGAAGGCTGGCTGCCCCCGCTACTTCTCTAACACTTGGAGGTTCCCTCAGATCACACCAAAGAGCCACACAGAACCACCTCCCTATTGGGCTGTTGGAATTTCAGCTGTTTCTAGTGAGGGGTAGAGTCACCCCGTGGTCCCTGAAGCCCTTCACAGACTGGCTGGACCAGTCTTCTGGGCTCAGAAGGACGGGCACCAGGACAGGTGAGCAGGTGGTGGCCCTGTTTTCAGCCAGCTGTGTGGGCTCCTAGAGGCTCCAACTCCCACCTGTAAGTGGAGCAGCTCAGACCAAGGATCCCAGGATGTCGTGGTCTAACATGGGAAGAGATGCTGGCAGACGGGAGGAGATGCTGGCAGAGGCCAGGAGAGTGAAGTGACACCATCGGGGCCTGGAGCGCCTGGGCAGAGAGCGAGATGGTGGCAGTACCACCCAGGCTTGTCCAGAATGTTCGCTGATGTTTGCATCTGGGCCAAGTTCAGCCACATCCAAGGTACATTGTGGTCTGTGTTCTGTCCTGGAGGTTGGAAAACTGGTTAAAGAAGCTGCCTCCCGGAGCAATCTGAAGCGGGTGACGCTGGAGCTGGGAGGGAAGAACCCTTGCATCGTGTGCGCTGATGCTGACTGTGAGTCTCTGCCTCCTGGGCTTTGCTGGGGCTTCGGGGCACCCATCCATCTATCCCCACTTCCTGGCCTGAATTCAAAACCAACTGAGAGTAAGATTCATGCACACACAGTGGGGATACTTCCACCCTGGGCATCCCGCCCACAGTCAGCCAGCCGCAGACAGGCAGGTGGACATCAAAATGCCAGCTTTACTTGTAGTAGAAAGCTGCCTTCTACTGCCAAAATGACATGGCTTGAGTGGCACCTGAGAGGCCGCCTGTTTCTGCGCCTCCACCTTAAGTTTACCCGCCTGTTCCTGCAGAGCTGGGGTCACGAGGAGCAGGTCTGACTTCTCCTCCAGAGCCCCTGGGAGTAGGGGGGAGGGCAAGTGCCGCCCACTCCCAGTCATTCATTCTTCTCACTTCCAAGTCACATTTCCTAGCATATGTTTTAAGATCCCTGAAGAGTGGAGATGCTTTTTCCTTGTGTCTCAGATGTGATAAATCAGAGGAGGGCAGTAGCAACTGATCCTTCAAATTACCCTCTTTGCCTGGTTCTAGGCCTGCACCCCTGCCCTGGGAAGGCAACCTGCCCAGCAGTTTGGGGGCAGCTTGTGTCTTGCCAGAGCCAAATGACACAACATTAAAATATATGCTATTGTTGGTTGCCATGTCCACAAGAGGGAAGAAAGGGCTGGTCGGGCATTCATTCGCCCTGCTGACAGCGTCAGCTATCAAAAGGTGTGACTTCCCAAGTGCCTTAAAACACCTTTACCTTAAAGAATAACCTCCCCCACCTGTCCACTGGTGCCAGAAATTCCTGTCATGGAGAACAAAGCCTTTCATTTCACACTCAGATAAGGTTGGAATTGCAAATACCTCTAAGAAAAATGACCCTGGCACAATTTCTTACTAAAGCGTAGATAACTGATATCAGTTCCTTTCTGGCAGCTGGCTTTCACAATGGGAGAAAGGACAGGAGGAGGAAACAGGCTCTCAGGAAGGAAAGGGGAGCTGGGTATGAAGACGGACTGCCCATTTCTTGCTTGGGTTAGTGTTCCAGCAGTTAGTGTGGAAGCACCCGTTAGTGCTATGAAAAGCAAGTGGTTTTTGGAGCCACATGGAGTGTTTCTGGCACTGTGACTCACATTTGGAGTCCCAAACAGCCAAGACTCCTGTTTTGCATTCCTGTGCCACCATATCTGGATACTCCGCCTACACTGAAATTCATCTTCTTCCTCTCGGGAGGAAAACTGCAGCTAAAGCACAGGAGTAATTGTGTTTGGGGCTTGATTTTACTTACAAGGGTCATAAAAACATGCCGTGTAGCCACCTCCTACTCCTCATCAGGGCAGTGCCAGTCCACAAATTACATCCTGACATAACCAGCATCCCAGGCAAGACATCAAGGGTAACAAGCCACCATTCCCCTGCCCCTTCGCCTCACCCCTAGCTCCATCAGGAGCAGGAAATGAGTCTGTTATTTTGGAGGAGGGTCCGTTCCAAGTTGGGACCTGGCCCAGCCAGCTGCAGGGGTCGAGAGTGCAGAGAGGTACCCCCAAACCTTATGGTGCGGTCCTGCTGCCACTGAAACTTGCACAAATGACTCAGCTAGATAGGAGCAGCCTCCTTCTCAAAGCCAAGGGCAAAGTCCCTTGGAGCAGCCCTGATGGAATTGGAATGGATCACCTTCCAATGCCCAGAGCCACTGCCAGCCTCTATGCAAAAGAAAGCTGCATTTCTTAAGCAAGCAGTAGTGCAGGGGGTTGGTGGTGATGAAACCAGCCAAGGGTTGAACACTAGAAACCCCTCTGTAGATGTAAATGACATCCCAATACCATTCTTATCCACTAAGCGTGTCCCCCAAGATCTTATTCTCTAAACGCCCTCTAGCTGGGTTTGAATAACTGGTTTTTAGCTCAATGTCAGCTCTACAACTTAGAGTCAGACCTTTCAAGTCACGCACATAATGTTACCTTACTTAATAAGACCCTTCTTTTACTCAAGGTGGAAAATTTTGGCTTCTTTAGAAGTTTCGCCAGTGGGCCTACATCAATAATTACCAAAGTTTATTCTATAAAACATTAGTCCTCTAGAAAAAGGGGAGGGGAGGGTTACATAGGCAAGTGAAATGAGGAATGCTATGATTCTCTGGACTTATTAGCATATTAAAGGTACTGAGAAGTCCTGCAGTCAGGGAATTGATTTAACCCCAAACTTGGTGGACCCCAAAATCCTTTCTCCCTTCCTCTCTGGGAAAGTCTGCAAACAAAATTAATTTCTGAAATGCAGCCATCCTGGGGCCTGTTTTCTTGTGTAGGCAATTAGAATTGCAGCTGTCGCCAGTCCTGCTTTAACGACTTAATCGCTTCCTCTCACTCCGCCCGCCTCCCTCGCCCCGCCCCCTCCAGTGGACTTGGCAGTGGAGTGTGCCCATCAGGGAGTGTTCTTCAACCAAGGCCAGTGTTGCACAGCAGCCTCCAGGGTGTTCGTGGAGGAGCAGGTCTACTCTGAGTTTGTCAGGCGGAGCGTGGAGTATGCCAGGAAACGGCCCGTGGGAGACCCCTTCGACGTCAAAACAGAACAGGGGCCTCAGGTAATCCCCCTGGTGTGTCTAAACCCATGGTGCTTGTCTAGGGGCTGAAGCAGGCAGTCCCATGGCCACGGCCTACAGGATCCCTCTCCATGGAAGGAACACTGACATGCCCTACCCAGGAGGCTTTCTTTTCTTTAGAAACTGATCAGCAACACAATCCCATCAGGTCCCGGGTCAGGTCCTGGGGACTCATGGAAGGGGGCAGGACACACTGAGGCATGGGAGGAGGGCACTGTTCCCAGGGCAGAAGGCCATCTGCCTGCACCCTCCACTCTCCAGGATGGTCTCCCTACAGAAAAGGGGCTGTAGGCTGGCTGAAGGCAGCAGAGTGCAGGCAGGGTGTGGCCTGGTGTCTCAGTCGCAGCCCAACGCCCTCAAGCCCACGTGGGTTACTGGACAAGGTGAACCATCAGAAACCAAACAATACCAGATGGAGAGAGCCTGGGGCATGAGAATGTATCTCCAGGCAGTAGGAGCATGTATCTGGAGGCCGAGTTTGGGAAGCCAAGGACAGGATGAAAATGATCATAACCACGAGATTTAATATCCTCTTTAAAAGGGCACATCCTGTATCACTTTCTTACTAATTATGAAGTGAAGCAGATGGATAAATATTTAAAAGAGGGCAGCCTGACCATCCCATGCATTATTGAAATGGAGCTCAGCAGCCACTCACTTTGCTTTTAGCCAAAGTCCTGCCCCAGCCACGAAATTTCAAGTCACATGTCTGTGACTTCTCCACTTGTGTCTATCCCGGGAGGCTGCCACTTCCCCCACTGTGACAGCGTTGCATGTTTACAGGGGAGGCTGCTGTGGATCTGAGCTCAGATATGGCCCTGGGCTTTATGAAAGTCACAAAAATCCTTCCATGCCTCAGTTTCCTCATCTGGAGAATGGGGAGTAATCAATGAATATTATGAGAATTTCATGGCACCTAGGAAGTATTCAGTTGTGGACAGGTTTTATTTTTAAAGAGGAGGAAGCTTTAAATGACAGGTTCTGCAGTCTAGGTGGCAGTGAGTGTCTGTGCATGACATCAGGCTGTCCTGTGGGGATGCCCTGGCTGGGGAAGAAGGGAGGGCCTCGTGGAGGAGGGGTGGGTTTCTGGTCATTAGTGCCCACCCTCCACTGGCCCCAGCCCACACACTCCGATGCCACGTGACCCTGGCAGAAAGCACTTCTTCCTGTGGCTAACATTCCTTCTCCTCAGTCATTGCCTGCCCAGCCTCTGCCCCAAACCCAGCAGTCAGTGACACAGGTTGTCTAATGGCCTCAGTTGGATTTCAGATCTGAACGCAAACATGACCACAAGTCATTATGGAATCCGCTGTGATTTTTAAAGCTAATCCAGAATCAGTGGGAAATGTGTGAACTGATCCCCATACGGAAGAAACTTTTTTACCCCATCGTTATTTGTAAGTCTCTTTCCGTGGCTCTTTTCGTGGCTTATGCCTGATGTCTCAGTCTTGACTTTTGAGGCCAGATACACCAATTTCTTCCAAGAGAACAGATGGAGGCAGAATGGGTGCTGATTTCATCAGTGCATTTATGCCACCGCTCAAAGTCCTTTTGAAAGCTCACTAAAGCCGTCTAACCTCAGCATATTATTTTAGCATGCTGTTAGCATTTTTTTTTTCTTCCAAAGTGCTTTTTCATCTACGGTAATAAGATTTTACTCTGAGAGGACTTACAGCTGTCTAAATAGTCCTGTCTGCCTCATGCCTGTAAAACAGCTAGCTGACCTAGATCCGGGTCCACGGCCGGGCTAGCGCTCACAGGAATGCTCCAAAATCATTCAGGTTTATTTGGCAACTGAGCAACGAGGCATATAAACATTATGCAGGCCACCTGGCCAGGCAGGATCCGGCAGTGTCCTCCCGGCAGAGAGCTGAGCACAGCCTTGAGCCAGTCCTGTGGGGGCCATATTTCCCTGTTTCTGGTGTTGTGCCCTGCCGCGTCATCTCACTTCCTGGCAGGTCTCTCTTCCTGTACTGTAAGGCACCAGCTGACATTTCATGGAGGATTATTAGATTTAAACAATGTGTTCCTACAGACTCTCCAGGGAGTGTTGAGTTTGGATGTGTAGGGTTTCCACAGGGACCCAGCACTGCCTGCAGGACAAACAGGGTCTTCCAGATGGCATATGCCCAGCAGCCAGGGAGGACCTGCAGTTGGGTGAAGCCCCTGTGGCCCTTTTGGCTCCTCAGGGAGAACAGCAGCTCAGCAACATCTGGAACTGTTAACCTGAGACTTGGTTCACCCAGAGAGAAGTTGAGAGAACCTTGAGCTCTTCTGGGATCTGTTGCAAAGCTGTTTTTGTTACATTTATTTTGTTACTTGTTTTTGTTACTTTTTTTGAGTGGAGTACACATAAGTGGGTCAAATCCCAAAACGCCTAAAAACATCTACAGTGAAAGGGTTCCCGCCCCTCCCGCCCCCATCTTTGTACACCTGGTTCTTAACCCTTCCTCCCATGGGTATCCCCAGTTCTTAGCTCCTCATGTCTCTCTCTAGAATGTTTTCATGTGTATACAAGCAGATATGAATGCAAGTCCTGATTGCCTTTGTTATTTTTACACGAAAGTTACCATGATAGTATATTATCTTGCACTATGTTTATTGTTCCCTAAAAAAAAACTTGAAGAGCTCTTTATACCAGTCCATGGGAACCTGCCTGATTCTTTTTCACGTGTGTACAGAATTCTGCTGGATGAAGCCACCAGAATTTCAGTAACGTCTTCTGATTAGCATGTGGGTATGTGCAGTCACACACAAGGCCTCAGAGTATGTAATTTCACACACACACAAGGAGATCCCTGGGACAGCTTCCTCAAACTGGGTTACTAAGTGGGAACACATTTGTAATTTCCTTAAGTGTTGCTGAATTACCTTCCATAGAGGCTGACCCAATGTGTATTCCTACCAATATTCCAGAAGCTTGTCTATTTCTTGACCCTTTCCAACAGAATATGGATTTTTTTCCCATCTGAGAGTTAAAAATGGTATCTTGTTTCATTTTAATATGCATGTACCTCTTACAATAAGCAAGAACATCTATTATATATTTAAAAACCATTTGTATTTCCTTTATTATCAAATGTGCATTTGCTTTGCATATTTTTCTTTCAAAATGTTGGGCATTTTTCTTATCACTTCTAAGACCTCTTTACATACATAGTAGAGAGATTAGCTTTCTATGAATATGACTTGTTAATATTTTTTCCAAGTCAGTTGTTTTGCTCTTTGTTATAATAATTTTGCTGCCCTTCTCGCTTTTTTTTTTTTTTTTTTTTTTTTACATACTCAAAATTATACATCTTTTCTTTTTTGGCTTCTGCATTTTGAGTCATTAGAAGGCACTCCAAGTTCGCAGAAGTCTCCCACATATAAAACATTTATGGTTTTGTTTTTCCTGGTTATGTCTTTGATCTATTTGGAGTTTGGCCTGGTATAAGGTGTGAGGTATGGATCTGAGTTAGTATTTTTAAACTGGGTCCATATTTCACGAGATGATTGGTCAAGTGGCATACATGGTTTATGCCCTCTCTCCTGCTCCTCCAGGACAGACTGTCATACAATCGCACCACTGGATTTGCTCGTTTTTCTGTTTATGATTATTGGAATAAAACCAGTTTTCCTATCTAAAAGTCCCAGCTAAAGTAAACCTAGTAAAGCTTTGTCTCTCCTAGCCAAAGAGGAGGGAGACCAGCCACAGATCATGATAAAGGACAGGATTCCCATAGATTTCAGGAAGAAGGCCCAGTGGAGGGGGCAGAAAGAGCGTTTTCCCCCTTAAGCAGTCTCCCAAAAGGGTGTGCTTTTGACAACTGGTCAGTAGCATGTTCACAAGCTGTGTGTCAGGCTGGTGGTATAGGGCAAACTCCAGCCAAGGAGACGTCTAGACAAGATAGCAAAAGGAAGAATCTTTCTCATGAGCTGTTCCCCACTAACCAAGGAGCAGCCCCTCTGCCCCACCTGGAGTTTCATTCTGCTTTGTCCCCAGGGGTGTTGAGTAAGGTGGTTAGCTTTTCTTCTCGCTTCTCTGCATCATAATAGGAGAATTCCAGTAACTATAACCCTGAGTCATGGTGCCAACTGATCAGGGCACAGGGTTGCCAGGTGATACATGGCACCCAGGTAGACATGAATTTCAGATAAACAGTGAATGCACTTTTAGCTTAAGTATATCCCAAATATTGTTTTGGGACATGCTTTATACTAAACAAAATTATGTGTCATGTTTCTGAAATTCAGATTCACTGGGCATCCTGTATTTTTATTTGCTAAATTTGGCAACCTGAGTAGAATGTAAAGAGTTGGGAGAGGAAAGAATGTGACCATTTCAGACCTGTGTCACTCATGGACTAACTTTGCTGCATGGAAAAGGGAGATAGAAGTGTAAATAAGTCCCAAACCTCCAGAGGACGAGATGAGTCTATCTCCCCATCTCTCCCCTGCTCCAAAGAGTCCAGCTCTGTGCATCAGAGGAATATTTGCCTGCAAGGCACGTTAGTTACATGGATCATGACTTGCCAAGAATGTGCAGAGGAAGGACGGCTGATCATGTTGAAGGCCACTGAAAACATGAGATGGCAGCCACTGCCCAGAAGGAAGCCAGGCTGCGCTTTTTGTTTGTGTTTTGCAGATTGATCAAAAGCAGTTCAACAAAATCTTAGAGCTGATCGAGAGTGGGAAGAAGGAAGGAGCCAAGCTGGAATGTGGGGGCTCAGCCATGGAAGACAAGGGGCTCTTCATCAAACCCACTGTCTTCTCAGAAGTCACAGACAACATGCGGATTGCCAAAGAGGAGGTGCAAGGGGGTTGTGGCAAGACTACGGCCTGCAGGGCCTTTCAAACAGAAGTCCTTCCCTAGGGCCCAGGGATCCCAGAAATCCTTGTGATCTGAGCGTTTTTTTGTTTTTGTTGTTGTTGTTGTTGTTGTTGTTTCTGTGTGGTCTTTCCCCTCTCCTTTGGGGTCCCTAGGGAAGCCGTTTTGTCCCTGCTTCTGGTGAACTCCAAACATGATACAGCAAGTACCTTGTTTGTTCTAGCTAGTTTTCACTCATGGCTCACCCTCTCTGGGGAGCAGCAAGCCCTCTCTGATCTAACACACCGGGTCCCTGAGTCAGTCATGCAACTGCAGGTGGAGAACTGTTGCCACCTGTGGGTTTTGCCAGGGATCAATTCAAGAACCTGTGGATTCAGGGCCCAAAGCCACCTTCAGGGCCCCCCAGACTAAACTTCAAGTGTTCACTCAAGGAACATGTCACAGCTGGAATTCTTATTGACATTTTCCACCACGGATATCTTGGAAATGAGGGAAATTAAGGAGACTCCCCCACTCCCATAAGAGTGTAAATCTTTGTCTTTCAACCCCGCTTGCACTAGATGGGAACTGGTTCCCCCACAGCATTTGTAAGAGGAGAGCTGGATCCCGGGAGGTTAGACCCTGGACATGGTCTTTTGGGGCACATAAAAGGATGAGTCCCTGCCAAGGGCTTTCCGGGGCAGGTATTTTAGAGGTGTCTTCCTCGAGATTGTTATGTGCGGTGATGGCATAAAGCTCAGCTCCTTAAACATCCCTGTGACGAGAGGTCCTGGGGAACCCGGAAGGTATTTTGGCAGGCCAGGCACCATCCTGCCAGCTTATAATTACGTCTAATATTGAATCAATTACAAGCTCCCTTCAAAATCACCTTTAAATGTTCAAGCCTTAGTTCTTCCATTTCCTTTTCTCTGCTATATCACAAACTGTGGTGAATATTATGCCATTTCTTTCTCTGGTAATTATTATGGAAATGTTCTAGGGTATCTTCATTGGTTGGAAACACAGCTCCAAGAGGTAGGAGCACAGTCTTACAAAGTGCCTGCAAATATCCTTCAAGACAACTCTCAAAAAAGTTACCTAAAGGTTTTGTCTTCTGTGCATCTATGGGTTACTCCAAGACTCTCTGGCTGGGTTTCTCAGAAACCCTGATGACAACAAGACATCTTAAACACAACATACATTTTTTGTTATTATTTTTTATTTTTGTTTCATTTTAATCCTTCCCTTCAGTCTTCAACGGTAATGCAGCTAAAGAAATGTTTGGACGTTCTTTCTTCTCTAATCATCATTTTTCATGCATGTGTGTGCTCTGGGTATATGAAAAACGTGTAAAGAGAAGGAAATGCTTGCTCACAGCATGCATTTCCATTCAGTCATGCCTCTCATTGCCATTCTTGCAATTAATCATAGATTTTTGGACCAGTGCAACCAATACTGAAGTTCAAAAGTATCGAAGAAGTGATAAAAAGAGCCAATAGCACTGACTATGGACTCACAGCAGCCGTGTTCACAAAAAACCTCGACAAAGCTCTGAAGTTGGCTTCTGCCTTAGAGTCTGGAACGGTCTGGTAAGTTGACTGTGTGTGTATTTCAGCTCTCCTGAGTTGCTTCTTGCTAAGTTCCTTATTTTTCTATTAACTGAGAGTTTCTCATTGTTTACATTGTATATTATGTACCAAGCACTATCTCAGTGCTTCCTTCCATCCTCATGACCACCTGCTGAGGTAGGTGCCATTATGTCTCCATTTCATAGATGAGAAAATTGAGGCACAGAGAGATGAAGTGACTTGCCCAGAGTCACACAGCTAGCAGATGGCCGACAGGGCTCCAGTGCCTGTGCCTGTGACCCCTGTGCTGTACTGCCCCTCCAACTTTGTTTTCCATTCTGATTCTAAGAGCAGTTCATGCCCATCTGCAAAATAGGGATACTAGTCCCTGCCTCATCAGTAATTCTGCAGATGATGTTTTGTGATCCCCGTTTTAAAGATTAATGAATTGAGGCTCAGAGAAGTTGAGCAATAAGCCTGGAATCATATAACCAGGAAGCAGGAGAACTTTAAGGTCAGATCTGTCTCATTTCAAAGCTAATTCTTATTCCTCTACACCCTGATTTTTCTTTCTTTCTTTCTTTTTAATTAGATGGAATCTTGCTCTGTCCCCCAGGCAGGAGTGCAGTGGCACACTCTCAGCTCACTGCAACCTCCACCTCCCAGGTTCAAGCAATTTTCCTGCCTCAGCCTCCTGAGTAGCTGGGACTACAGGCACATGCCACCATGCCCAACTAATTTTTGTATTTTTAGTAGAGATGGGGTTTCACCATGTTGGTCAGGCTGGTCTTGAACTCCTGACCTCAGGTGATCCCTCCATCTCAGCCTCCCAAAGTGCTGGGATTACAGGCATAAGTCTTCATGCCTGATCCTCTCTTCTTTTTTCTCCCCTTATCATTTCATTCCTATCCCAATGAAACACACTCTGTACTTGAGGATTTCCAAATGTTGCTGATGGGAAGAATGAGAAGACAAAAGTTGAGAGCACCCTGTGTTTTCATCATGGAAGCTTTGGCAAAATACTGTTTATTAGTCAATGCCCTGCATTGGGGGCTCAGTGGCTGCAGTGCCAGGAGCCAGGGGGTCTTCTCCAGATGACTCTGAACTTTCTTCCATTATTTTCTAGGATCAACTGCTACAACGCCCTCTACGCACAGGCTCCGTTTGGTGGCTTTAAAATGTCAGGAAATGGCAGAGAACTGTAAGTGTGTCCATCATTCTGAGCCTGCCATGGGCTGAATACAAGATCCACTAGATTTGCAGGCAGTGATTCAGGCTCCAATCTGCTGACCACCCCCCTCCACCGCCATCCTGCTTTGTCTGAGCCAGCTGTGTCACTCTAGGGCTAGTGGGGACCCATCTCTTCCTCTCTCCCACCCACCACCCCCACCCTTCCCACTCACTTCCCCAGCCTGCCCCTCTCCAGGCCTCAGCTTTTGTGTCTGCCCAGCACCCATCATGCTGGGGACGTTCAGTGGATACTTGACAGAAGCTCCCTGATTGGGGACACAGGCAGAACTGAAAAAGTGTACTTTTTACCAGATGTGGGGTGTCATTATTCACACAACTCCCCACTCACAGCAGTGAAGACACGTAAGGCTGACCCAGGTAAGGCTCCTACCTGTTGGGTCCTTTTTTCTGAGCCTAGCAGGGGCCCTTCCCAGCAGGCATATGACAACACCTCCTGCTGGGCTTCTGCAGCCCTCTCAGTACATGCAAGCCCACTGCAAATCCCTCCACATGTGTGTGCAAACCCACTGCAAACCCCTCCACATGTGTTTACAAACCCACTGCAAACCCCTCCACTGCATGTGCAAACCCACTGCAAACCCCTCCACTGCATGTGCAAACCCACTGCAAACCCCTCCACTGCGTGTGCAAACCCACTGCAAACCCCTCCACTGCGTGTGCAAACCCACTGCAAACCCCTCCACTGCGTGTGCAAACCCACTGCAAACCCCTCCACTGCGTGTGCAAACCCACTGCAAACCCCTCCACTGCGTGTGCAAACCCACTGCAAACCCCTCCACTGCGTGTGTAAACCCACTGCAGACCCCTCCACTGCGTGTGTAAACCCACTGCAGACCCCTCCACTGCGTGTGTAAACCCACTGCAGACCCTTCCACTGCGTGTGTAAACCCACTGCAAACCCCTCCACTGCGTGTGCAAACCCACTGCAAACCTCTCTGCTGTGTGTGCAAACTGATCCACACTTCCTTTTTTGTCCTGCCTGCTGGGAAAATGAGTTCCCTAGGTTTAGATTAATGGGTGGAACTTCTTGTGTCTGGCCCAGGCCCAGAGCATCCAGGGAGTGGAGATGTGTGGTTTCCAGCCGGACACTATCTTCTCTCCCCAGCTCAGGATTTTATTAGCCTGTGTGGACAAACATTTTGTAGGATCAGTGTTCCCAAGGAACCATCTGTGACAACACCCCAGGTTCCTGGGACATCTCTAGGGATCCAAACTCTTCCTTTTATTTCACCAGTGTGTCCTATTTATATACAAATGTACTCCCTTGTACTTGTTTGCACTTCTTCCAGTGGGAACAGACTCTAACGCTTCCCCTCACCTTGGGCCTTGGTTGGGGCCTTTTTGTGGCTTTCTTTTGAGATTCTTAAAGATGCTATGAAGGGATGGGCCTGGCTTCCATCCCTGAACAGATGCTCTTGACCAGTCTATGTGGAATTGGGGTCCTGTCCCCCTCCCACCTCAGTCCTGCTTTGTAGTCCATCCCTGACTCTCGGCAAATACCCCAAGGCGTCTGCACGTGTGAGTGAAGCCTGCCCATTAGCCTCCCCCTTATCCCTATGGCTGGCTTCCTCTTCAGGGGACATCAGTAATTCTTGGCCATGAAACCCCTTTGCAGAAATTGCATTTCCTCCCTCTAGTGGCCTATTTGTGTTTGAGTTCTGTGAGCCCCTGCTTCATCACTTCTTACACCTGCCCCTCCAGGGACAGGCAGCCGGGGCTGGGGTCACCAGTGTCCCCTCTTGGGCCCTCCAACAGCAACAGTACTGGCAACAGCTGGGATTTGCTGAGCACAGACTCTGCTGCAGGCTCTGTTGAGCTCTCTGTGCCTGTTCATACCGTCCTCACACCCATCCATGAGATGGGTCCAGCTGCTTTCAGAAGAGAAAATGGCACAGGAAGCTGGTAAGTGACAGTCAGAAATGAATGCTGGCAGCTTAGTCCTTGGACCCACCGCAGTGCAGGACCTTGCTCAACAGGAGTCACCCTTGTCCACCACCTGTTTGTGAGGCCACCCAGGGCTTGCGTGGTCATTTATCCCCTTTCATCTGCTGCCTTCAACCAGCTGGGTCATTAGGGCTGGAGAACCTAGACCCCACACAGTCCTCCTCCCAGAGGCCAGACAGAGCCTCACCCCACAGCAAGAACTCCAGTCCCCAAAGCAAATGTCCCTGGGTATAGAAGCTGCAGGGCCCCCAATCCCTGGTGTGTACGGCTTTGCACTGGTGATTCGCCCTCATTGCAGCCTCCCCTCTTGCCACCCTGACAGTGCTTTTGGCTCCTTAACACCCCCTCGCCTGGCACAGAGCAGGGCTCGGGGAGGACTCACTGAACACAGCCCATGTATCCTCCTGCCAGTTAGCCACCATCGGGACTTTTTTGAATGTCTGTTTTTTAGACCCTTGGCCTATATTTTCTCAAGGCTTTTGATAAAATATTTAAAAATAATTCACAAGGAGCCTAGAAACTGCCTGGAAAACCAATTTCTGTTTTCAGTTGTCTCTAATTAATGTCTTCATGTTGCAAGAAGTTCCCCTTTTTTAATGCTGGAGCGTCGTGCGGGGGATTCCATGGTTTTCCCCGTCCCCGGCCACCTGGACTGGGCTGGCTTCTGGCCGCCCACCCACGGGTCCCTCCGGAAGCTGTTTCTGTGCGGGTCTCAGGATGGAGCCTGAAATTCCTCTTCCTCCTGGGCGCCTTTCTTCTTAATAAAAATGATACAGTAACCAAAAAATCTACACAATAGAGATATGGAAAGTCAAGGCTTCCCTCCCTGACCTTCAATCCAATTTGTTAGAGGTAAACGTTGTTCCATCATTCATTTGCTCATTCTTTCTTTTATTCGCTTGGCAAATATTTCTTGAGTATCTTTGATTCACCAGGCAGGATGCTAGGCTCTGAGCATATTGCAGTGAACAGCACAGCCACCAGTCCCTGTGCTTCCTGACATTCTGGTGAGGTTTAATAGGAGTAAGGCTGGGCTCACGGATAGCTTTGAACTCCAAAGTGGATGAGACTGGCTGAGAATCCATGTAGGAGATGTTCCACTGGGTTGAATAAGAGCAGCAAGAATTTGAACCAGGACAGCAACTTCAGAAATAGAAAAAATGAGAGGAGCTATGTATTTATTCTTAAAGGAATGCTTTAATACTAATGCATGTGTCAGTTATGTGTTAATTCAATCTGATTTTATCACTTTGTTTTCTTTTCTTTACTAACTTGAGAAATCATTATTGGCTTTGAATTTTTACAATGCGACATTGTATTCTCACTTTTTAAAGTGTATTGTGCATTTTATTTGCATACAATGGATTTATATATGTGTGTTCTTTTCTGTTTTCAAATGAAATGGGAGCAAGCTACATTTTGTTATTGAGACTGGGTTTTGGATATCCTTCCATTCTTGTTATTGATGATCTCCTATGAGGAACTTTTGTGTATTTTCAAGGGGTTTTGCTATTACAAACCATGCTAATGTACTTCCTTGTGTATACATCTTTATGCACTTGTGGGAGATTGTTTTCAGAATAAATTCCTAAAATTGAGTAATCTGCCACATGAAAAATGGGCTTACCACTGTTTTGGTTACATTTCTTTAATCATGATGGTGTTGAGCACCATTTTCACACTTATTGGTAATTCGTATTTCTTTTTCTGCAAACTATTCCTGTCCTTTGTTGATTTTTCCATTTGGTTATTTGTGTTTTTCTTGTTGGTTTGCAAGAGCTCTTTGTATATTAAGGAAAATCACACTCTGATCTTCACACAGTGTTGTAAATTTTTTTTTCTAGTTTGTCATTTGGGAGTTTTGATGGAGTCTCTGCTCTACAAAAGTAGAATTTAGCGTTCTGTTTATGGCTTTTGTATTTTGTGTTATATTTAGAAAAGATTATAAAATAATTCACTTATTTTCATGGGTTCTGCAACTATTTGTTTTAGAAAATGACCTAAAAATCTCAATGGCACCTAACATTCATTTTCTGCCTAACACATAGTAGGTGCTCTATGTGATTATCTGTAATTGTTATGATTACAAGGAGGTGATGGTATTCCCATTTGATAGTTGATGAAGTTGAGGCTCAGGGAAGGCAAAGAACTTACCTAAGCAACATAGTTCTAAGCCAGTGGTTCTCCAACTTGAGTATGCATCAGAATCACTTGGAGAACTTGTTAAAATACAGATGTCTGGGCCCCATCACAGAGTTTCTGATTCAGTACGTTTATTAGTTTTTTATTGCTCCTACAAGAAATTACCATAACATCAGTAGCTTAAATAACATAAATCTATTATCTTATAGTTCTGTAGGATAAAAAACTGACACAGGTCTCCCTGAGCTAAAATCAAGGGCTGCATTCCTTTTTGGAGGTTCTCAGGAAAGAATCTGCTTCCTTGCCTTTTCCATCCCCTAGAGGCTGCTCACATTCCTAGGCTGGTGGCCCCATCCTCCATCTTCAAAGCCAGCACTGCTGCATCTCTGAACCTGTTTCTATAATCTCATTTTGCTCTGCCTCTTCTTCTGTCAGTTTTAGGGACCCTTGTGATTACACTGGGTCTATGCCTGGATGATCCAGGATAGTCTCCCTCTTTTAAAGTCAATTGATTAGTAACTTGAATTCCATCTGCAACATTAATTCTTTACCACGTGGCCTAACGTATTCACAGGCTTGGGGGATCCGATTGTGGATACCTTTGGGGAAATCCTTATTCTGCCTACCATAGTAGAGCTGGGGGAGGCCTGAGAATCTGCATTTCTAGCAAGTTCAGAGATGAGGCTGATGCTGCTGGTCTGGGGACCACACTTTGAGAACCATTGGTCTAAGGGAGGAGATGGGATTCTGTCACAAGTCATTTCAACTCCAGAGACTCCAGTGACCACCTCTAGCTTCATCTCTTCCTAAACAAGCACACATTTTTCTTCACCTGACAGCAGATCAAGCATTTAGAGGGATTTAAATCTCTCCAAAGCTGCCTCTCGGGTCTTGGAAGGGAAGCTACCCTGAAGACAGACCATGGTGCCAGGGAAGGATCACCTGAGCCCTGCAACATTTAAAGAAAGGAACTACATCAAGGATGTGAACCTAAAGGCTGTGGACTCCCCGTGTCCAGTCTGTGCTAATGTCTGCTTCCCTCATGCCCCCTAGGCTGGCCTCACTGTCTGACAACTGGTCCCCAGCTGTGCACTCTGAGGCCAACTTCAGGCCCTTAGTGTTCTTCCCTCTGGTCCTCTGGCCACATCCCCAGCCAATGGCTTTGGGCCTCTGCCTCTTCTGTCTCCTCTTCAAGCAGCTCCCAATTGCCATCTAAAAGTTATAAACCCAGTGTAATTTCTGCTTTTCCCTTGTTCACACTCACCCCTCCGTCCACCAGGCCCTCTCTTTTTGCTCTCTATTGCCATCCCAGGGAATTCACCTCTTTATTTTTTTTTAAATCCCCTTTATTCTCCAAAGGTAAACCATTAGTCCTGGCTATTTCAAAAGCATCACACACAAGAAAACCTTGATATTTACATTTAAGTCACATATGCAGCTATTGGCACTTACTAGTGGTGTTATAGTCCTGGCTATTATTCCATGAAGTCGTCACATTTTGACCTTTTGCATAAGCCTCCAATGGCCTGATGGAATGATGAAGCATCAGAACAGTTTCTACACAAAGGCTAAGGAACGTGCCCATTTTGAATTTTCCTCTTTTCTGTGATCACAGAGGTGAATATGCTTTGGCCGAATACACAGAAGTGAAAACTGTCACCATCAAACTTGGCGACAAGAATCCCTGAAGGAAAGGCGGGGCTCCTTCTTCAAACATCGGACAGGGGAATGTGGCAGATGAAACGTGCTGGAGAAAAAAATGACATGTCTGACCTTCCCCGTACACATTCTTCTGGAGGCTTTACATCTACTGGAGTTGAATGATTGCTGTTTTCCTCTCACTCTCCTGTTAATTCACCAAACTGGGGATGCCCATATGTTGTCTGTGAAATCGCAGTCCTGCCTCGGGAGGGAGCTGTTGGCCATTTCTGTTTTTCACTTTAGTCCAGATCCCGGAGACAGTGAGATACTCAGGGCGTTGTTAACAGGGAGTGATATTTGAAGTATCCAGCCATTGCTTAAAACGCTTTGCCGAATCTGACTCCAATAAGAATGTGGGAAAACCCCCCTGTGTGTTCTGCAAGCAGGGCTCCTCTTGTGGTCTCCTCAGGGTGGACCTGCTCGTAGAGCAAGCCACGCCTCTTTCCGAGGTAAAGGTGGGACCAATCCATGGGAAAGGACTCACAGTACGTTTTGGTTTTTTTTGTTTGTTTGTTTGTTTAAAAAAAAAAAAAAAAAAGGATTTCATGGTGAGAAACTTTTGGGAAGTGCATACCGTGGAAGGATATCAGGGTCTTTGTGGATTGCATATTGACATTGACCGTGAGATTCAGCTTCAAACCAATACTGCCTTTGGAATAGGACAGAATCAATAGCCCAGAGAGCTTAGTCAAAAATGATATCATAGTCTACCTTAACCAAGGCACTTTCTTAAGCAGAAAATATTGTTGATATTACCTTTGCTGCTAAAGATCCAATATTCTAACACCACAACAGCATAGCAAATCCTAGGATAATGAACCCCCTCATTTGACAAATCAGAGCCGTAATTCGCTTTAACAAATTATGCATTTCTATCATGTTCACTAATGGCTTACGATAAGTCTATATAGTCTTCTTTTTCTCCAGTTCTGTTACCCATTTTAGATTAGTAAAACATACACAACTGGAAAGACTGCTGTTATAACACAGCCTTGTTATTTTTAAGTCCTATTTTGATGTTAATTTCTGATTAGTTAGTAAATAACACCTGGATTCTATGGAGGACCTGGGTCTTCATCCAAGTGGCCTGAGTATTTCACTGGCAGGTTGTGACTTTTTCTTTTCCTCTTTAGGTATCCAAATGATGATGTGCAATGTCATGTTTTAACTTGGGAAACTGAAAGTGTTCCCATGTAGCTTCAAATACAAAAACAAATGTATTATTCGGATACTTTTATGGTTACTAACTAGTACTTTCCTGATTGGGAAAGTGGTGCTTAAGTTTGCAAATTAAATTGGAGAGGGCAATAACAAAATGAGGCCCCGTATCAGAACCAGTGTGTGTATAAGGAAAACCATGTATAAAATGGGCCTATCACCCTTGTCAGAGATATAAATTACCACATTTACCTTCCCTTCATCAGCTAACACTTATCACTCACACTACCAATAACTTGTTAAATCAGGATTTGACTTCATACACTGAATTTTCAGTATTTTATCTCAAGTAGCTATAGACACTAACCTTGATAGTGGTACGTTAGAGGGTTCCTATTCTCTCATTGTACAATAATGTCTTTAATATGAAATGCTACATTATTTATAATTGGTATAGTTAATGTATCTTTTTATAGTTGTAAGTACACAGAGGTGGTATATTTAAACCTTCTGTAATATACTGTATTTAGAAATGGAAATATATATAGTGTTAGGTTTCACTTCTTTTAAGGTTTACCCCTGTGGTGTGATTTAAAAATCTATAGGCCTGGGAAGTCTGATCCTAACTGCAGATCGTGTTCCACAATGCAAAAATGATAAAATAAAGTTGGATATTTGGGAAACATTATGCTTTTTCATTTAAAGACCAAACTCATTTGAATTCTATGGCAGGCCTTTCTCTTTCTGAGACCTGTACAAAATGGCTGATATTAAAGCAGGATCAATAATGTAAGCATAAAATTACATTTACTCTGTCAATTGGGCCCAGTGCTTTGCCTGACTCTGAAACCCATTTCTGTGGGCTCGGGTTGACCAAGCAAGGAGCTGGGCCTCAGAGGTTCCACATCATATCTGGCTGAGTTTTAGCTGTCATCTAAGCTGCCTGAGTCTCCGTTTATCATAAAGTGGTAATGATGTCAGTGCGGGAAATGGTGGGGAGGACCGCATGAGGATTGACAGACAGCATTGTGCCCCTGACTGTGAGCACAAGTGTCTGTTTTTGTCACCTTTTCCTCTGAGGATCTAGCGAAAGGATCAATTTGGGTTTCACTGACCTCAAGTTTCTAAAGCTTCTAACCAAGAAGCCTCAATCACCACGTTGGGAGCTGACACTGACACTGGATCAAGATCATTGGTGGTACTGGGGTATGTTCTTGAAGCTCAACCTGTGCATTTGATGTAGAAAGCCCAGATCACTTTGATGTGGGTGGCAAAGCACCACCTCTTTAACAAAAAACTTAAGGGAGGCTGGGATCAGATCTCTCGTAAGATACACCCTTATGTTAAGAGAATTTAGACACATTATTTAGAGACATCCCATTTCTCAATCCAAATGCGAGCAGAAAACTATAGGAGAAGGATATTTTCCCTCATTTGGTGTCCCGGAATGTGACTCCCTGAAGGGAGCCATTCTGGGGACAATTGGAGGGTGTAGTGTGCGTGTGCACACATGCATTTGTGTGCCTGGTGTGCGTGTGGGGGTTGGCACACTCTCTAGAAGTGGACCCTTTGGGATGGCCTAGCTTCTTCTGCTGGTGGATGAAGATTTGCTCCTTGCTCCTAGGCATGAGCTTGAAGGGGGTTCATGAAGGGCGTTTAGGAAGTTGTTCAAGGAAGACTGTCAGAGGAAACTGCGAACTGGGCTGAAGAAAAACAACCAGAAAACACAGAAGGAGCTCTCAGCCACTGTGCCTTCAAAAAGAGAGAAAAGTCAGTTCAGGGAGGTGGCTTCCAGCTGACCTCACCCACCTCAGGAGGGGTCATTCCAACCTAGGGTGCTGAGAATCCGGGTGGGATTACCAACAAAGCTAGAGAACCGTGGGTCAGCGAGCCTTAGGAAGAAGTGGAAAGGAATCTTAACTTATCTGCAATAGCCTTCCTATGAGAAGTTGTGGCTAACACATGCCTAATGGCTAGAATTAAATGCTGGGAATATAACGGGCTCAACACAGGTCATCCGCGTGTCAAATGTTCCTGCTGTTTTCTACATTGGGGACATTTCCTAGCCTATTCCCAAGCTCATTTAGAAGGGAAGCGGAGGTGCCCCGCCTTACTGGGCGGCGTCCCCTCCAGCGGCTGCCCGGGCCCTGGGCCTGCGCTCCCTTGCGGTGGCGCCAGGTGGCGGGGCTGCGCGCCCTGGAGGAGCTGCGCCTCAGTCGCGGGGCTCTCTCAGCACTGAGGACACCACGCCCTGCAAACTGTTGGGAACTTATCTGTAGCAATCACACTGCTGGCTCCTGTAAACTGGTGTGAGGCCCTCAGGGGTGAGAACAGGATTGCAGAACTGCGCTTACCCTTTTGGAAACTCGTCCAGTGGCAGGAGCAGCCTCCCAGGAGCAGAGCAGACCTGCTCGGTGGTCCCCTCGCCAACCAGGGACCCAAGAAGCCGCTCAAGGAAACACGGTCCCGCGGTGTCCGGGAGGTCCTGTAAGAGCCCTGTAGCTGCCCGGGTTCTGTGAAATGTCAGTGAGGGTGGGGGAGATCTGCGCGAAATCCTGGGAATATGCGAGTCATAACACTTCAGGAGAGGAGCCTAGGGTGCTGGTCCTGCAGGGCGTGGAACCCTCTGCTTTTCCTGAGCAGGCCTTTTCCCTGGGTCGACACGTGGAGCTCAGTGTGAGGCCCTCCTGCAGAGTGGACGCGGATCTTTATGGTCTGCGTTTCTATATTAGCCTCAGCAGCCTGATGACACCTTTATGAAAGGTTGAAACACGATAAATTACCAATATTCCATGTTTTATGTATTCCCCCCAAAGCCGACAATTAAACATGATTCACCAAACAGCAAATACTTTGCATACATCCATTATTGAATTAGTAAAATCCATATGATGGAGGATGTGCAAACTGCAAATCGTTAACGCTTTAGAACTACATATTTCTGTATTGCCCTGGAAAGAACTGTACACAAATGAATATTCCCTGTCTTTTTAATTTTTACGGACGGAGTGTATGGGCCACATGCAAGTTAGGGGCTGATCTGCTGATTTTGCTGCCACTAGAGCAGAGGGATAGTGAAAGCGGGGCTGAGCGCAGCACCGACCAATCTCATCGCCGCGCTTGCCCCGCGTGGAGGGAGCCGAGTGCCCGAACCTGAGGGAGAGACCTGGTACTAGAATGGCCCGCGGACCCCGGCGTCTCCCGGGGCACGGGGGTTGAGCGCGATCGCCCGCGTTTTACGGCTAGGGAAACTGAGGCGGCCACCGAGGGGACGCCTCGAAACCATTCCGGCGAGAGCTGGCGGCGGCCTTGCTCTGCGAGCTCTTCGCGCCACTCGCCCTCCCCGCCCGCCCGCCGGCCTCAGGATTGAGGAAGTGCGTCTGGGCCCGGCCCCGGCGCGCGGCCCGAGGCGCGGGGGGCAGACGGCTGTGGGACGGCCAGGCCCCGGCCCGCCAGTGTCCGCCCAGCCCCGCGTCCCGGAGCGTCCGTACCCGGGCCCCGCCGCCGCCGCAGGTAAGTGCTGTTCCTCTCCGCGCCCCCCAGGGACCTGGTTGCCTCCTGCGGCCGGCCCGGGAATCCGGAGCCCGCGCCCGCGTCCGCGGGGAGCCCTGGCCTCTGCCTGCCGCGGGCCTGCGCTCCAGGCGGCCGCATGGTCGGACATGGGTGGCCGTTGCGCAGGGGCCGCAGCCCGAGGGGCGCGGAGGGCGTGTGGGGTGACCCCCAGTCTCACGTCCCGGCTGCCTCCCGCCACGCCCGTAGCCCAGCCAACCTGTGGTAGGGGGGTGTGCGGGCCCGAGCGGGGAACCCCGAAACCCCGTATGGGACAGGGTCGGGAACGCTGGGAAGCAGAGGCAAGAAACACAAGCAGGCAAATACACCAGGGCGTCCATATATTTCCTCTCCCTTTGGAGAAAACCCCGTCCTTTAACGGGGAGCGGGCGGAGAGTGAGCGCGCGGTTGTGCCTGTGCCAGGGTGTTGACAAGAGACAGCCCAGGAGTCTCTCACTGCTCCAGGGCTTCCTGGTGTTGCGGGGTGGCCCAGCGAGGCTTCACCCTCCTCAATGTCTGGGTTATGCTTCTTGCCCAGGTGTCTCTGGCTGGTACAGATACAACTGCTATGTCTGCCATGGTCTCTGCAACCTACGCAGGACCTTCCCGGCAGGCAGGGACGCAGGCGAGGAAGCCTAGTAAGGCCGGGGTCAGCCGGGAGCCGATGGTGGAGAATATAAAGACCCCTGTGGCCATTTCAACCTACCCCTTCACAGTTTGAGGCCACGAAATTTTCCTCCCACAAACACATCCCCTGCAACAGGTAGAGAAACAGGGGCATATAGCTTTTAGCAAACCTCTCACCATGTACACTTAGAGTTTGCCACTCACTCGCAGGGTATCAAAATGCCCAGACATTAAAGGGACAGCTAGAACATGCACAATTTTGGAAAATGTTAAGTTAAATGTCTTTTATGATTTGATTTTCTTCATCTGTGCCTATGTCCTGAAAGAGAAAATAGTATAACAAAGTAACCTCACACCTAATTTGTTCCTAAAGGAGGTTTTGCTGTCAGCCAAACCTTTCCTTCTCCCAAATGTCAATGTCTCAGGGAGTGACCTCACAATCAACTCAGATGCTCAGATCAAAAACATTCAGTCTGTGGATCTACGTCTAAAATGTGTCCTGTTCTGTCCCCTTTTTTCTTATGTCCCCCACCCCTTGTCCCGGGTACCAGCATCTCTTTACTGTAGGATTACAGTTCCCCCTCCTTCCATTCTCTATATAGCAGCGTGTGTGTGTGTGTGTGTGTGTGTGTGTGTGTGTGTGTGTGTGTGTGTGTTTAAATGGGTAAATAGGACTATGTCAGTCCTCTGTATGGAATCCTTCAGTAGCTTCTCCTTGCCATTGGCATGCGATCCAGGAGACCTCCTTCTCCTTACACCCCCAGCTGATCCAGCCTCTGCTATCTCAGACCACCAGGCCATTGCCCCCAGCCACCCTGACTGAGCTCACTGTCCAGCACTGGGCCCCTGCACTGGTGCCTCCCGACTCTTCACATAGCCTCAGAAAGCCTTCCCTGGTCACCCTCTTAAAACCCACACTCTCTCTCACATCCCTCACTCTGCAGCCTCCCCGCAGTCCCCACTCTGTACTCCTTTATCTGTTTAATTTCTCCTTAATTACCTTGTGGTCTCCACTGGAGCTCCTGAGGTCAGAGACTGGTCTGTCTTGCTTACTGCCGCGCCCTCATTCCCATAACTGTAGGGGGAGTCACCCTCTGCATGGTGGTAGAGTGACTGGACAGAGAATGGACAACCCTAACTAACCTGTGGTTTCAGAGTCATGGAGCATTTCTCTCCTCCAGCCTTTTTGTGCTCATCTGGGATTGAGAACAACATATTTCTCTGGCCTGCAGCTCCAAGGTATTTTGATGTCCACAAATCCATTAAACACATTTTGTAGGCAAGCCAATGTTAGTAAGGGATGCAAATAGCACTCAAGAGATTTCTAGACTCATGGGCTAACCATTTTGACCAGGATTTTCATTCAAAAAGGAGCTGGGTGATATGAATGAGCATGTCTAGCATGCTTTGCTTACAAGGGTCTTCTAACTCTTCAATATCGACAGTCCTTCCCAAGCCTCCTAAAATACCTGGGTTTCTCTGCTGTCAGAAACTTTATAGCAATTACTTAGCTGTCTGCTCCCCCACCAGCTTCACAAACTCACGAAGTTCCATCTTCATAGAAAGAACTCAGTAAGACATTTGTAGAATGAATGACAGGTTCCTCTCTTTTCTTTTCTCTAGAGTCTTGCTCTATCACCCAGGCTGGAGTGCAGTGGCACAATATTGGCTCACTGCAACTTTCACCTCCCTGAGTTCAAATGATTCTCATGCCTCAGCCTCCCATATAGCTGGGATTACAGGTGCCCACCACCACACCCAGCTAATTTTTGTATTTTCAGTAGAGATGGGTTTTCACTATGTTGGCCAGGCTGATCTCGAACTCCTGACCTCAAGTGATCCACCTGCCTCAGCCTCCCAAAGTACTGGGATTACAAATGTGAGCCACCACACCCGGCTATTTTCTTTTCCATTAAATATTTAGGTTTGTTCATTTATGCAGGTATAAATAGTTGGCAAAAGGAAATTGATGAGGTTTTGAAAAATCATTTAAACCATCATTACTGCAGAAAACCTGTTGATGCCCTCTTTAGGGTGTATAATGAAAACATGTAATTTGTAACCATCATTTGTTGGCACTGATCTGAACCCAAAAGAAGCAGGAGGAAGTAAAGATCCATTTGAATGCAAAGATTGAGCAAAATTTGAATTACCTCATCTTAAATCTTCTACCTTAGAATATAAGCCAAAATACTAATTAGAATTTTAAAACTGCTCCAGGGGCAAAATCTTCCACTGGTAAAGTGATTTTCAAAAGGAAACTGAAAATAAAAAGGGGAACAAAATGTGCTGGGTGAGGGTTAGCCTGAAATAATTTTAAGATTTTTTTTTAACTTAAAAACATTGTATGGTAAGACACTTCTGTTTTCAGGAAGAATGTCTAGCATTTGGATTTTTGAAATGCTGTTGGTTATGTGTGGTACTGTTTTGGAGAGGTGTCTGCAAGCAGATGGCAACTGTGCTTCTCAGTTTCTGGATGTGAATGTGTGATTTGGAACCTTTATTTTAAAACAGATTCTGTCTTGCTGGCTCTTCCTCTCTCTGTCACAAATTGATTTTCCAAATCAGGTTTTGCTATTTATAAGGCTTTAATCATCCCCTAAATTTTGCCCAGATTGATTGTTTTCCCTTTCCTCCTTCGACTTTTTAGGCTTCCCAACTTCAAACACGGGTGTTTCCCACACATGGTTTCTCTCGACCATCCCTCTTTGGCTCAGAAACATGTGCAGCATACACAAGGCTGCTGGAGCCTGACTTTTCTAGCTCCGCCTTCCCCTGCCTTGAAGAGTCCAGTCCACCTGGGCCAGGTGCCTGATTTCTAGGCTTTTAGGTGAGAAATTCCCACAACCTTGTCCTGTATCTTACTTTGTGCTCCTACTGCTCACAGCACCTTCTAGAACCTACCCACTGGTGAGGCTGGCATCTGTCCTCCAGCATTGATATTCTGATCTTATTCATTAGGGGAAGGTGAGAGACCCACTGGTCTCCAACTCTGCACACTGATGCTGCAGGTATACCACCCCAGCCCTGTCGTACGAGAGGCAGCAGAAACTTTACTTTAGTTGAATTCACACAGTAACCCCACCAGCAGGCCAGGGCATAAGGGTAGATGTCTATTTTTAACAGGTGAAAAACTGAGACACACATAAATTTCAGCTGGGGGGTTCACTGCTAACATGTGACAGAGGCAATTCACACCTTTGACATCCACACTGTGCTTTTGCCTTTACAGATTGTCTTAGGCATTATTTTTACATAACCTTGATTTAAAAATATATTTTTGGCTGCACTATCACTCCCCGTTTCAGAGTTGTCTAGGTGAGAGAACACAGACAAGGGGTGCTAATTACCTCATACTTCATTACATATAGGATACGCTACAAGAATATTGATAGGCACACAGGCATTTCTTATGGTAGTACCTCGTGTCAGGCCTGAGCTGGACGTGGGTCTTACCCTCCCTCTGGTCCTTCAATCACGGTACCAGGATGGGCACCCATGCCCATGGGGGGTACTCCAAGCTCAGTGGGGGCCCAGCATAGAAGAGCAGCACCTGGTCTCAGCAGTTTATCATAGTCAGAGATTAGTCAGAGATTAGTCTAACCCCGCTTTGGAACTTTTGGGGCCAGATAATTCTTTGTTGCAAATAACAGTCCTGTGCATTGTAGGATGTTTAGCAGCATCCTTGACCTCTACCCATTAGATGCCTGTAGCACCCTCCCCCAACCAAGTTGTGACAACCAAAAATGTCTCCAGACATTGCCAAATATGCCCTGGGAAAGGGGCAGAATTTTTGAGGCTCATTTCTGCTAACCTCTGTCATTTAGCTTCCTGCTAAAGCTCACACTAGCTTGACTTCATAACCAGTAATAACTCCCTGTCTTTGGGACTGTTGCCTGACTGCCCCTTTGGGATGACATACTCACCTCTGGCTTCCAGAAGAACTGGCCCTGGGCAAAAAGAGAGCCTTGTATTGTGACCAACCTTAACTATATCTGCCCTACCCCCATTGGAGTGTGCTTCTGAGGGCAAGAGCCTCCTTTAACCATCTTGGCACCACTGAGCCTCACACAGAGCCTGGCTGCCTTGCAAGTGACAGGGGGTGTGTGTTGACTGAACGATGATTGAGTCAGTTACTAGTATGTGTTTTGCAATTGTCTGGGGTTTCATTGAGACTCTTTTCAAGTAGACAAGACCTGAGCCCAGCATCAAGATGGGATGCGGGAGCTCTGCCTTCCCACTGACCACACCTGATGGGTTTGGCTGGATAGATGGACTACAAAAAGGAATATTGCAGAGGGAAAGCTCAATGAACCCATGCAGATATTTGCAGGGGAGGAGGACAGGAATTATAAAGGCTTTCTGATTTTATTGTTTTTCACCCACCAGAACAAGAAAGCTTTCTGCTCATCCATGGCTATGAGTTCATGCCTTAATGCACCCCACGGCCAGTGACAGTGGCAGTGACAACAGCGGGACCTGCCTTTGAAGATTGGCTGCTGCAAGGGTTGATGGCTGGCATGTCGCAAAGACCACCCAGCATGTACTGGTGTGTGGGGCCGGAGGAGTCAGCTGTGTGTCCAGAACGCGCCATGGAGACGCTTAACGGTAAGGACAGGGCCATGCTTATGCCTCCCTGGGTGTGACCTGCCATGCTCATCCTGCACGGTGTCTAGGCTATGTAAGAACAAGGGGTTCTCAACCAATGGAAATCAGACGTCCATATTTGGTGCTCTTTCATCATAAAATGTATCTTGGGATTCCTAAATTCTAAAAATTGAGGAACAGTGTACAAAATTGATTGCAGACTCACAGATCTTAACAATTGGGACATCACTTCATGTTGGGTTAAAGAACTTTTAAGAATAAAGATTTAGTTTTGTTTTTTCATTATAAAAAGGATACATATTTATTAAGGAAAAATTGAAAAATTGATTTAAAAAAAGGAAGAAGGAAAAAGAATCATCCAGAATCCCGCTATCTGAAACATAAGCCCAATGAGCATCTTGACATGTTCTTTCCTAGTCTGCTTCTCTGTGTTTAAGGGACTTTGTTTTGACTTTATTGCACTTATAAGGTGCATGTAATGTGGTATCTTGCTTTTTTCTCTTAACCTTCTATCAGTGACATTTACCGAGGGCACCACCTAGCTCCTATGATCAAGTGAAGCATCATTTCATTTATTTTATTTTTTTTTTACAATTTAATAATTTGATCAAAAAATGATTCATAAATTGGGCAGCACTCAGAACCAAAAGAAACATCATCTTCTGCGGGAGTGCTATGTGCAGTTATTGTCCTAATCCTTATTCTCCTGTGGGACATTTGGGTTGCTTCGAGTTATTCACTCCCACCCAAAGCATTTCCTTCCCATTTCTTAATACTTGGTTTCAAGGTTATTTCTGTAATGTAGGTTTACAGAAGTTGAATTATTGGTCTTGAACATCTTTAAGCTCTCGGCACATACTGCCAGATTTTCCACTACAGTTGTACCACTTTTAAGACCAATAGGATATCATTGTTAATAAATATTTGTTAATCCCTTAGTATGTACCAGGCACTACAAAGTTCAGAACTTTACAAAATAATGCCATAAAATCCTCATGACAACCTGGAACATGGTACTTTTATTTCCGTTTTATAGCTGAGGAACATGAGGGTAAGAGAAGCCTGGAAACTTCAAGGTCTACAACTCAGAAATCACAGAATTGCCGTCTGAACCCTGTCTTAATGCTGTAACACTCATTCTTAAATGCTAGGCCATACTATGGCAGGTGAAAGTGTCAACATGTTGAGTCTGAGAGGCCCACATTTGTACCCTTAACTGTGTTAAGTAACGATCGGCCACTGTACCTGGCTTGGCAGACACTTTGTTCAGTTGTTTGAGTGTTTTCACTCCATCTGAAATGTCCAGCAGCTGACCAGGGTGATGTTTCTGGAAGGTGTCTTTTCACATCCATCACATTATGAAATGGGAGACGAATTTGCTTCTTGACATTGTCCAGCAATAAATCTTTCCAGAGTGCTCAACTTGTATCTTTGTAAATTTTCTTTTTCTTTGTTTTAGACATATGTCTTTTTTCAGTTGTGTGGTAGAAAGGCCTTGTTCTGTTAGTGTGAGATCGAGGTGACATGGGTGATAGAACACTGTCCCCGATTTGGGGGTAGCACCTCCACATTTCCAGTGCACATGAGGCTCCCTTATCCTCCTGCTGCTCCTCTTGGCAGCCCTGAGGGATGAGGGTGGGGACAGGGACCCTGGGTCTGTTTGGAGCCTGTTGGGTGGGTGACTGTGTCATCTGAAAAAGCCCCACAGGAGGCGCTGCTCCCTCCCCCTCCTGGTCAACAGTTGGTGATCTAAAGGAGTGCTTCTCAACCATGGCCCACAGAGTCACTGGGTAGTGACTCAAACCGGCAGGGCTATGGCACCACCTGGACCCACCAGAGCAGCATCTTGGGGCAGGGGGGCAATGAGTGAGCAAGCATGGGTAATTTTTTCTTTTTCTTTTTTTTTTTTTTAAAGATAGTGTCTTGCTCTGTCACTCAGGCTGAAGTGCAGTGGCATGACCTCGGCTCACTGCAACTTCCACCTCCCAGGTTCAAGCGATTCTCCTGCCGCAGCCTCCTGAGTAGCTGGTACTACAGGCGTGCAACACCACGCCCAGCTAATTTTTGTACTTTTAGTAGAGACAAAGTTTCACCATGTTGGCCAGGCTGGTCTAGAATTCCTGACCTCAAGTGATCCACCCACCTCGGCCTCCCAAAGGGGTGGGATTACAAGAGTGAACCATGGCGCCTGGCCAGCATGGGTGATTTTTAAAAGTTCCCTAGTGATTCTAATGTGTAGCTAAAGTGGAGAATCAGCCCATCTAAATGGTTTGAGTCCCGTAGAGCAGCACTTCTCAAATTATCATGTGCACATGTCCCCTGGGGATCCTGGTGAAATGCAGAATCTCATTCAGGAGGCCTGAGGCACAGAGAGCCTGCGTTTCTAAGTCCCCAGGGATCCCCCACTGATTCTTACAGGTCCCAGGGACCAGGGCACAATGGGCTTTGGACAAACCCGTCCCCACCTCCAAGCTTGTGGCAGGACAGATAACTAGAAAATGTTAAGGTGCTCTGAGAGACCAAAGTGTGGCACTCCCCAGCCCCCCGTGATTCTCCCTAAAGGCCTGCATCTGAGCTTGGCACATGTCCTCTCCTGACTGCTCTGATGGAAAACAGCAGGCACAGAAAAGTCTTTTCTGCCCCAGGCCTCTTTCCCCAGTGGGATCTCAGGAATCCCTGCCATTCCTGTTCTGTGTAACCCAAGAGACACACACAAGGGCCAAGGACCCTGATGGGACCGCAGCAGCCTTCACTGTGTACTGTTCAAAGAGCTTGAAGTAGAGACAGGACAGGGAAGTGACACCCTGGGACCCCCTGCGAATGAGGGAGGTGTTTGTGCAGTGACCTAACACAGAAAACCAAGAGTTGAAGAGGAGAGGAAAATAGCCTGACATGCCCCAGAAAGTTCTGTCCCCTATTTAGCATTAAGAAAATTCTATTACATATTAATGGATTACAATAATAACCAAATCCTCATAAGGAATCTTGTGAGAAGCTACTAATTTATACCCATACTCAGAGTTTTAAGGTCCCACAGGTGGTACCAGCAGAACTGAGCCTGTGAGCCCCAGCCCTGGAGCTCACTAACAGAATTTATTAATTCCAGGGATTAAAGCCTACAGTGCCCCCTCTGTAAAGCCCAATTTTAATGCATTGCATGTTGGACTTCATTTTCACAGAATATATTAATAAATATGTACACTAAGGCCACAGCCAAGGAGCAGGTAATGCTCAAAGGGTGGTGTGTGGTCACGTGTGTGTGCTGGGATTGCAGTCACTGTGCTTTGCTCATCTCTGCTGTTTATATTTCCTACGATATCTACACATTGCTTTTTGTTTTGTTTTGCCTTCTTTTGCGTCCAGAACAATAATATTGCAAGCTATTTTAAAATTATTGTTTATTTAAGTACTGATGATTCGTGATTAGAATCTAAGCGGTGAACCTCCTGTGCTTACATCCAAAGTTAGATCTGCTTCCACTGGCCTCTTTGCTTTGATGTCTTTCTGGAATAAATGTGGAATACTTGACTTACTATGACTGCAGCTGATCCCCCTGCAGGAATCACCCTCTGAGCCTGTCCCCAGAGCCTAAGCTGGATTTGTCCCATCCCACCTTCTCCCAGACTTCCTGGGATGATAGGGAGTCCTGTTTCCCCTCTCCTACCCCCCAAATCCACCAGCCTCACTCAGGGCAGACTGTTCAGGCCTAATTTCCAGCTCCGGCTAAGAAAAGTTGGCTGCCAGAAGGAAAATTAATGATACTCAAAATTATGTAGGTTCAGTTTTCTCATGCTTTAAAAATCTTTGTTAGATAACGTGTTTGAAAACAATAATGTTCTTAGTATACTTCCGAGTACACTTTAGAAAAAGACCCACACTTTAAAAAACAGTGTCTACTTTTGGATGTTGGGGTAATGGTATTTTAAATTTTTCATTTGTGTACTAGGCTTGCCTTTTCACACCCCCTACCTGTTGTGACTTGCGTGACCTCAGCTCATGTTTGTTTAGAATGGTTAATCCTTTCAAAGTTCCTGGATGTAGGGGGCTTTACCCAGCTGGTATGGGGCTGGGGTCTGTGTGTGTCTGCCCTGCCGTGCGGCCCGCTGTGTGTTTGTGCAACACAATTGTGTCCCAGGAAGGTGTGTCACAATCTCCACCTCATTAGCACCGGCAGCAGTCAGCTCGCCTGTGGTGCAGGAGGAACGGCTGGAAAGTTTTGATGGGCGTAGAGTTTGCCAGCTGACAGAGCAGCTGTCAATGAGATACTGGGCATGGGCTGCAGGGCGCGCACTACTTTGACAAATATGTCATTAGACGTTCATTCTTCTGAGTATGTCTAACACCAGCCAGAGTGGAAAAACCAGTCCTGCCAGCCAAGGAGAGCTGTCCTGGAAAGTAGGGAAGTCAGGAAACTTCCAGATAATTCAGGTGGAGAATACTTGGGGAGACTTCTGGATTGCGGAGGGTGGGTGGAGCTTGATCAGACATCACCCAAGCAGGGGCTCGCACCCCCAGCTCTCTGTGAGTGGCCATCGCTTCGGTCCTGAAAGCCCTGCCACGGTCACACACCTCTCAGAGCCCTGCCCACCACCGGACCCAGCATGGACCAAAGGAGGAGAAGGAACATTCTAGAAGGTCTTCAAATTCCAGGTTGTTTCATGGCTACTTCCAATGTCTTGTTTTTTTCTCCTTTGGCTTTTTCAAATCTGCATTTGAAATACAACTTCTTAATATAGGAGCTAAGAGGTTTGCTCAAGTGGGGGCTCCTCCTGCCTTCCAGAAATAGAAGTAGGAAATAGGTCGAATTAGGAAGAGCCTCTAGGGTGGCAGCCGGCCTTCTTGTCAGGCCATAGCAGGAAAGTCTACAAAGGACAGATCCCCACTGATGAGCCAGCCCACATCTCTGACTTGTTCCTCCTGTTGGTGTCCTGCCTGAACGTGCTGAGCTGTATTCACACCATGGGAGCCACAGGAAACAGGGCAGGCAGGGCCTTGCAGCA